CTATCTTTTTTTCGATGAGGAATCACCCCCTTAAATGTTTTACACTTATTTAGTTACACCCTGTATGTAGACATATTTTTTTAAGCTTAGAATAATTTAATGAAGGGTGTTGTGGAAGAATCGATCTTAATGATCTAACACTATACCTATAATTTGCCGATTGTTGTAGTAATGTAAACTTTATTATTGTACTACATATTTTTTACTGGGAAATAAAAATTATTATTATAATTTGTATTTACAAACATTTGAAAATAAAGGATAAGCATTGGATAAACTTAGATAATAATCATTAATATCCTTAAAGGCATCAATTGTCTGCGCTACTGCGTTTAGCGATGTACATAATTATTATTTATGGTACTGCTAATAATAATGGAACCAATATCAATAACAATAAAACGTCTTGTCATTTTAATTTCAATATAGAGATGTTTTATAACATGATTTATGGATCTGTGTTAACATATTTGACTTTCATTAAATTAATATTTATTGAGATATTCGAGATTCAACGTGACAAAGAAGGTCTGCATACAGGATGTCTTACTTCAGTTGCCTATCTTATTTTAAAACCATTCAGAAATACACACCGCACAAAAAGTATCGCATCTCGTGCAAGATTTAAAAAATATTCAATTTTAATCATTAAATTTGGAAATTGTTAATTTATATGCTGTACATTTTAAATATTGGTACATTTGAATACAAATTCTATGAGTTTTAATGCTCTTTGTGTAAAATATAATGCAAAATGCAGTTTGCTCTAAAAATTTTTTAATCAAAGAAAACGAAATTATAAATATAATCAGGGTTTCTAGTATCTGGTGTGCCCCAAACCAGGTCAATAGCGAAGGCTCTAGAACAGAAAAACATGTCAGTCACAATACGCCAGCCTTGAGTATAAGACCAATATATCCACCTAATAAAAGGTAAACAAACAGGCAAAAGAAGGCTAACAGTACTTAGGATACGCGGTCGACCTAGCAAATAGTGTCAAGAGGTGATTTACAGTCAGTCTCAAGCAGTTCTAAACATAGTGAACAACTAGTGCAATAAGATTCAATTGTCTATTAACGCTCAAAAAACGGCAGTTGCAACATTCACAAAAAATTGTGTACTTAAAGGACTAAGACCACTAGTACTAAACCACATGGTCATTTCATTGGTCACAGAAGCCAAATGCTTCAGAGTCATATTTGACCAAAGGCTGATGTGAAACCAATATCTCAAAAAACTCGCATACCAAGCTACAATATATCTCGTAAGCTGTAGAAGAATATGCGAAAAAAACTAGGGCATAAATCCCAAAATAACCATATGGTGATAAGACTCATGATAACCTATAGCAGCAAGTTAAAATTAATAAGATTCTAGGAATGCCTATGTACATGGTGTGCCATAACCATATACACATTTGAAAAAAAATTTCAAATTCAAATACCAACTCGAGAATCTAGAAACGATCTTTTGCTGGAATCTTTTGACCCAAGTCGAAAACAACGTTTTTGCTGAGTCTAGGAGAATACACAACAGTGTTTCAGACCGATCTAATAGCAATACAACACTGCGCAAGATAAATAATAAATCAAAATCAGCAAGTATCTGGCAAAACTAATGCCATATACTTTGATAACCAAGCAGAGCTAAAGGCACCAGAAATTACATCACGAGTGGTAAAAGGCTGCCGAAAAGACCTAAAAGATTTAAGTAGTCAAAACAAAGTATCTTAGTCTGGGTACCAGGCCATGAAAGATATTAGGATAATACGAACGTTGAAGAACTAGTCCAGGAAGACTCAGATAAGGCCATGCCAGGCTCCGAACCCTTCTGTAGAGTTGTTTGGGCATTGTGCAAGGCATCTATCAAACAATGGATGCAAAAAGATCTGGTAGAATAACTATTTAGGACTGAAACATACCAAAGAGTTCATCAAGGAACCTTTGACTAACTTCACAAAAGCTCTACTGGATTAAAAACGACAAATTGTTTGGATAAAAGTAGGTTTTCTAACTGGACACTGTTGTCTAAAAAGGCACATGAGCTTTATCAATCCAATAGAAGCCACATTGACCTGTTTTGTCAAGAAAAAGAGGAAACATCGATCCACTTCTTGTGTCATTGTGAAGGCTTGGCTAGATTGAGGTTTCTATCACTAGGCGAAGAAAAGCTGAAAGTACAGTACTTGCGAGAGCCAGTGTCGAAACTACAAAGTCTAATAAAAAAGATTAGGCTAGACGCCATACTTTAAAATAACGGAGTCTCAATAGATCTGAAAAGGTAGCCCTGGTCAAGGACAAACTCCTTTTAAGTCTACCAATCTATCTGGTATTACCTCATCTCTATTTGCGGCCTTCATTCGACTCAGCACATCTTCAAAAATGTTTAGAATGTAAATAATATTTAATTCATTTTGTGATTTAACGCAAGCCATTTAACGTAAGCCATTTAACGTAGGCGAATTAACGTTCTTAATGAAATATAACGTTGCTGTTGCATCCACCCAAAGGGGCGAACCACTCCCGAAATACTGATACATTTTCACTTGAAATCACCGATATCGCTACAAATTCTATCGAGATTTTCCGATATCATTACCCAAAATCATGGCCCAAATCATTATCACAATCATTTCGAAATCAATTTGTTTCGAAATATAAACGCAGGAGATCGTGAATAAAAAACAGAAAACAATGTCATTTGAATATTCAAGAAGAAAATTTATAGATAATTCATGAGAAATTATGCAGAAATCAATCACACGAATTTTTGTGATTTCTGAAATACGGGTACGTTTTGACCGAAGTGGTTTATCCCTTGATCCACCCTAATTGATCCCATGCGTGCTCTGTGGTATTATAATTTGGACAGTGTGACAATATTAACCCCCTGAAGTGTATTCCCTTACCACTTTAACAGTATGAGGCCGTGCACATCCTGTATAAAAACAAAAATTTCACTTATAAATGGTCCATATGGAACAACATGGGGTTCCAGAATGTTTATTGCTTGTATTCTTCTCTCATTTATCCCTATCATCTCTGCATGTCGATGAAAATATATTCCTCCCCATACCATAAATGATCCGCCTTAACTATACCTTACCGTGCAAATTTTTGAGAATTTTTTTTTTTAAAAATGTGTGTGTTTGTACAGGGTCTTATGAGAAAGTAAGACTTCAACAACAATTTTCGAATTATAATTAATTTTACTATTATTTATTGATTAGATGGAGTAGAAAAAAACTAAAAATAACGTTTTTGAAATATTTAGGTTTTGTTTTTGACAATAAAATATATAGGTAACCGTGGAATTTATTGAGAAATTATTATTAAAAAATCACAAAAAATTTTCAACTAGGTTACCTACTTGAAAATTTTTTTGTGATTTTTTAATATTAATTTCTCAAAAAGTTCCACGGTTTACTATATATATTTTATTGTATAAAACAAAATCTAAATATTTCAAAAACCTTATTTTTAGTTTTCTTTCTACTCCATCTAATCAATAAATAATAGTATAATTCGAGAATTGTTGTTGAGGACTTACTTTCTCGTGAGGCACTGTACAAATACTCACATTTTTAAAAAAAAATCTCAAAAATTTGCAAGGTAAGGTATAGTTAAAAGTTCAGTATTAGAGAAATAAGGACTTCAACTATTAGAAAAAAATTAATTTTAGTCATAATCTAATAACTTTTTTTTTAACATTTGAGGCGAGAGGTGTGGCGAAAGGACCTCCTTAAAAATTGCAACTAAGAGACCACTTTGATAGTTACGAAAAGTCACACTATGGGATCTATTCTGTAAAAAATTTGGTTAAAATTAACCCTGAGTTATAAAAATAACCGGATGTTATTTTTAATTTTGCATTCTGTATTATTTGGTCTTAATTATAACTTATTTCATTAATAAACCTAGTAATGATTATATGTCAAATATAATCTTTAACTTACTTTTAAAGTTGTGTTGGCTTAACTTCAATTCACTTTTAGTCGTTGCCATATCTATTTTAACTGCAATTAGCTTTAAAATAGTTAATAACACAAAATTAAATTGATAGGTTAAAATTTAAACGTCATAGTTATAAATAACCTTTTAACCTGGCGGTTAAAATTAACTAAAACGTTACAGAATAGACCCCAAAACTACATATAAAACCACAATAATAACTTTGTATATTTAATTTACACCAGCTTCCAGCTTTATAGTGAAGGTTAGAATAGTTGTAGCTTCAAGCAGATGTCTAAAAACTCACGAAATATGTACTTACAAAATCATAAGAATTATCCGTGACTAATATCTTGTAACTATATGGTTCTGTTTAGTAAATATTTGTTGAATACATATATATTTTTTTTATTACAATGGATACTTATCCCACATTCAATTCCGGTCCACTTATCGTCAAAACTAAGCATAATAAAAAAGATTAACCAATATCTTAAAATCATTTTTTAATATTTTGGTGTCCCTTTTTTTATGCTGTGCCCACTAAAATTCTTTTTATGTAGGAATCTTGCCTAATCATCTGAACTTTTAAAACTTCAAAACCCATATCATCAAACTGCATAATATGCTTTCGTTAAGTATGTATATAATTATGTATGATTCTAGAGCCAACATGCAGATTTGTGGCTTATTTTCTTATGGCAAGTAAAGACTTAAATTTCATACCTTGCTTTGATTTTTCATAGTACCTACGTTGCGGATGTACTTAATTGTACTTAGCACTCTTCCACCTAATCAAACTGAACCAGGGATCTTGTGATTTTTGGTTACAAAATGAAATAGTTTTTATTTGATAATACCTACTAGGGTTTTTCTTCTAGCCGTTTGAATCTTACCTTAGTTTAACAAATATATCAATCCAGAGCAAAATTTTTATCACAAATGTATAAAACTGATTTACTATCATACTAAAGCTTTTATATAGTTACCCAAACCGCTTATCTTTCAGTACAAGCCACTATCGATATTCTAATTTCCCAAATTTTGCAGGTTCTGTTCACCAACAAAGTTTAGAAAATAGACCAGCAGTGTTTTCTACAAGAGAAGGAAAAGCGCCTGATGATGATTCTTATATTGGATATTCAACTGTTGTGGGACATTTCAAAAAAGGGGAACAGTACGAAGGCATAGCAGTTGGGATGCCAAGAGGAAATAAGTTGAAAGGAAAGGTAAGATGCTAAGAATGTTGGTTCATTTCCTACAAAATGATTACTAATGTTAATTCAATTTCCTTTGTGACTTGTGTGAACCACAAAAATTGATTTATTTGAGATATCTTATGTAACAGTCTATAAAACTAACTTGGCAAAGTCATAAGCTCGCAGAGTGACTTATGCTATATATTTTAGCTAATTTATTGCTATTTTTTTACCAAATTTTTACTGTGACAGTCCCCTGTGGATTATCTAAGACGTTCAAATATGCATTTCTAGATCGCTTTTTATCATTTTTAAACCGACATCAAATTGTCACAAAAAACATGGATTTTGCGCAGAAAAGTCAACAGCAACAGCCATGATCTCATTTTATAATCAGAATATTGAACATATTGAAGCAGCCGAGTGCTCTGTGGAAATATTCTGTGATTTAAGTAGGGCATTCGACTACGTGAATCATGAATTATTAATATCTGTACTGGAGACATATGGAGTTAGAGGCAATTCTTTAAAATGGATCTCCACCTTTCTTAAAGACCGACAGCAATATATATCTCTAAACTTTAAAATAGACAACAAAAATAACGAAATTAACTCTAATCTTTTAAATACACATATAGGAGTTTGTAACAGTTCCTCGACTATGATTTAAAAAAAACTGGTAAAATGTGGGAAATAAAATGATTCTCAAATAACAGATTTTGTTTCAACAGCATGGGTTTTTTTTACAAAATAAAACAACAAAACTTTAAAATACCATATCTAAGAACAACTATACTAAATATCTAAACTATAAATCGCTGGTTAATATAGTAAACAAGTTACCATATAATGTCTTTGTACTTGAGTATCGGATTTGATCGATCCTCAATATTAAGTACCACAACAGCTTCGTGGTGTGGCATATAAGCCGCTGGACTGCGACGCACGTAAAGTACCTTCGGCAAGTAACTTCTTTCCAAACTACGCTTTCACCAAAGTAGGAAAGATATACTATGCTTTTTAGCTTCTCTGACCAACACCACATAAACTAAGAAAATAACACAATTAAATTTTATTCTATAATTCAAATGCAACACTTACCGTGGTCTCCACAAGGGTCAATATTGGGGCCAATATTGTTTATTTTATATATCAACAGTGTAATAATGATTATTAAGAGGTGCTTCTCTTATATCGGCCGGTTTTAGCCAATATTCGCCGAACACAAATCTTCTAATAAATGAGAGCGTCTCATCTTCTTATTCACCCCCTCTGCAGAGTGCGGATTCTGACACCTCCATGATATGGAAATGCTTCCGTACTTGGCAATGACCAGTCAGAATGCCTGTGACTAGGCGCAGATTCTGTTTAGTCATAGTATTTGTTTGCTGCATTGTTGTCAGGATAATTTAAGGAGCTCCCTGGTACCTCTGCAGTTTCTTTGTTTCATTCTATCTTTCCCTGTATTTCACAAGGGAATGTTCTTTAATTAGGTATGTCACTACCGATTTTGTCAGGCCAATAGAAGGGCCAGTTCCAAAAAGTATTTGGTTGGCTGCTTTCTTGACTAGTGAATCAGCAAGACGGTTACCTTTCGATGTGGCTTGACCTTTGATCCATCTTAAGGTGATCACATTGTTGACGGATACTTCAGTCAAAGCTTCGTGACATTCTAGTACTAACTCTGAGTAAATTCGTGGTCTGTTCAGGGTGAGAAGTGCGTGTCTGCTATCTGTATATATAAGCATGGTCCTTCCAGTGAAATTGTTTCTGGTGATTTCTTTTGCTTCTATGAGAATCCCCGTTAGCTCTGTTTAAACTACACTGCCACTATTACTCACAACCCATTTTATGTTTAGGTTTAAGAATCTGGAGTATATTCCACATCCTGAGCCTCGTTTTGTTGTAGAACCGTCGGTATAGATATGCATGTTCTCAAAATTCCCTGTTTGCAAAATGACCAGGTCATCTGCATATTATGCTATTGTGTAGTGACGGTCATTATTGAGGCAGCTGATGGGTGTGTCGAGAACCATATTCCACAGTAGAGGTGATAGCACCCCTCCTTGTGGCCATCTCCTCGCAACCAAGCCTCTTATATTCACATCTTCTACACTTATGTTTACTGCTCGCTTTGAGAGCATGTTATGTATTCACCCAATAACCATCTGTGGAACATTTCTATTGGCTATTTAAATTGATCTTGAATTGTAAATATTTTCCACCTATAAAGATTACATACCATATTTTTGTCATAAAAATTTTGCTTCCATTTATTTTCAAACAAACTATAGTACTATATCTTTGGTGCTTTGAAAGAATCAGGATCTGGTTCGAGGAATATTTTTTTAAATATTTTATTTGCTATTTTTTGGTATATTTTTGTTATTTTTGCTTTTTTGGTATATTTTTGCTACATTTTTGCTACATTTTTGCTACATTTTCGCTATATTTTTGCTATATTTTTGCTATAGTTTTTGCTATAGTTTTTGCTATAGTTTTTGCTATAGTTTTTGCTATAGTTTTTGCTATAGTTTTTGTTATAGTTTTTGCTATAGTTTTTGCTATAGCTTTTGTTATTTTCACTATTTTCGTTATTTTTGCCATTTTTTGTTATTTTTTTTTTGTTATTTTGTGCTATTTTTTTGCATTTTTTATATATTTTGCATTTTTTGCTATTTTGTGCTATTTTTTGCAGTTGTTTATATATATTTTTGCTTTTTGCTATTGTTGCTATTTTTTGTCATTTTTGCTATGTTTGCTATTTTTGCTATTTTTTTGCTGGTGTTTTCTGTTTTGCTGTTTTTTTCTGTTTTGCTGTTTTTTGTTGTTTTTTTGCTGTTTTTTTGCTGTTTTTTTGCTGTTTTTTGCTGTTTTTGATTTTGTTTTCTTTTTTTTTTTTTTGCTATTTTCTATTTTTGTTTTTGTTTGCTATTTTTTGTTATTTTTTCGCTATTTTTTTTATTTTTGCTATTTCTTGTGGTTTTATTATTTTTGCTATTTTACTATTTTTGTCATTTTTTTTTTGCGATTGTGTGCTATTTTTTGCAGTTTTTGCAATTTTTGCTATTGTTGCTATTTTTTGCTGGTTTTTGCTGTTTCTTGCCGTTTTTGCTATTGTTTTCATTTTTTTTTTCTATTTTTTTATTTTTTTGCTGTTTTTTTTCTTCTATTTTTTTAATTTTTTGCTGTTTTTTTCTATTTTTTTTGCTATTTTTTGCTGTTTTTTGTTATTTTTTGTTATTTTTTGTTATTTTTTGTTATTTTTTGTTATTTTTTGTTATTTTTTGTTATTTTTTGTTATTTTTTGTTATTTTTTGTTATTTTTTGTTATTTTTTGTTATTTTTTGTTATTTTTTGTTATTTTTTTGTTATTTTTTGTTATTTTTTGTTATTTTTTGTTATTTTATTTTTTGCTATTACAAGCGAAAGAATTCATTTTTTGCTATTACAAGCGAAAGAATTCATTTTTTGCTATAGTAGTTTTTAGGAAACAATATCCCCGTCAATTTGAGAAAACCTTATTCATACCAAATGAGATACGAGTATCAAAATGATTTTTATGCCATAATTTTTTGCTAATTATTTACTCCTTATTAGTTGATCGTCCATCTAATCTTCTTTGAAATGGTTACAAAACAGTATAAAGCTATGCAGCCATTATTTCGTATGAACCATAGGGGGAAAAATCAATATTATATTTCTATATCATAAAATATAGCAAAAGAATATGCTGCAAATCCGATTCTGATATATCTCATAGAAACAGAGATACAGCACTTGCCACTAGGTTAAGTATTAAGCAAGCATAAAAATTTTTACTTTAAAACCACATTTAAATTTTTAAAAACCAGTTTGTAGAGCTTTTAAATAGATATTTAACGATGCAAACCACTTCTTACTACTTTAAACGATGGTCAAGTTATTTAACAAAAAAAATTCTGTTAAAATTCAATCTGAAAATCCTATTCTCTTGCCCTACAGAAAACGCAGCATGAATTAGTAAAAATCAGTTTGAAGAGATTTTAAAGAAAAATTCAACGATGCAAACCACTTCTTCCTAGATTAAACGATAGTCAAGTTAATTAACAAAAACACTTGTTTCTGTTAAAATTCCCACAAATTTGATCAGAAAATCCTATTTTCAGGCCTTACGGACAACTCAGCAGTGACTTTTTTAAAACCAGTTTGTAGAGTTTTTAAAGTGAAATTTAACAATGCCAACCAATTCTTCCTAGTTTAAACGATATTCAAGTTATTTAACAATAACATTTTTCTGTTAAAATTCAATCTGAAAATCCTATTATCTTGCCCTACAGACAACAGAGCATGAATTAGTAAAAACTAGTTTGTAGAGAATTGAAAGAAAAATTTAACGATTTTAAAATTTGTTGAAAAAATTTGCTTAAGTCGCTCTGCGAGCTTATGTCTTTGCCATGCGACCTATAGTCAGCAAATACTAATGGTTTCTTATCTCTTCAGTGTTCCATCCATCCTCAAGTCCTTTTCAAGCTTTTTAACAAATAGTACTAAATCACAAGGAGGGTATTTTCGTGTATTTTCTTACCTAGTATTAAATTTAATATTTTATCATCTAGGTACTGCTTTTTACTTGGAATCTAATCAACTATAAGAATATCACAATCAGCCAGCAGATCGGATCATATTTTGGATACTCCATAGCAGCTGCAGATGTCGATGGCGATAATAAACTGGACCTAATAGTTGGTGCCCCAATGCACACGGAAGCTAATACAGAAGACAAATACGACGTTGGAAGAGTATATGTTTTTTACCAAACTGACAACTTTACTGAGAGCTTCAATACCTCACATTTCATAGATGGTATCAATTCCAGAGGAAGGTTTGGGCACGCTCTAAGTTCGTTAGGAGATGTTAACCAAGATGGTTATGATGGTAAGATTGTATAAATTAAAATAATATTATTTTTATCTAAAACCGTGTAATTTTCCAGATTTTGCTGTTGGTGCTCCATACGATGGTCCACATGGTAGAGGTGCAGTTTATATCTTCTATGGATCCGCAGCTGGCATTAGGCAAAAATACGGGCAGGTTATTTACGCTGAAGATATCACAGGTGTTAGACAATATCTAACAACATTTGGATTTTCCCTAGCTGGGGGCCTAGATTTAGATAATAATGAATATCCAGATATGGCCGTTGGAGCTTATTTGTCTGATTCTGCTTTTTTCTTTAGGTATGGATATCATTTTTAATATTATTAACTTAAACATAAATAATTCCTCTTTAGGGCACGACCAGTGGTTTTCATCGATAGCTACGTCGAATTTAAGACACAAAACAAGAAAATTGATATAAAGCAAAAGAACTGTCTTCTACCGAATGGAGAAGATGGAACATGTACATCAATCGCTTTCTGTATAAAATATCGTGGTAAAGGAATTCCAGATCAACTTTGTAAGTACCTAAATTATATATCTACGATATAGAATAATTTACTAAATGAAATATAAGTAATAATAAAAGCTGAAACTCAAATTCATCGATGACGGCATCACTAACGTACTTCTGTATCTGTAGCGTGTGGAGGGTGGATTACTTTCATGGCACATAAGCCTCATTAGACCCATTGTGCATCCTCCTAAGATGATAGGCACCTCCCAGCTCGTGAGCCAGTCTACAGATTTAATGTAGTTGATAACGTCGCCAAAAGTTGATTCTCTTATATCGGCCGGTGTTAGCCGATACTCGCCGAACACAAATCTTCTAATAAATAAGAGCGTTGAGCAATCGTAAAAGATGTGCTCGATGGTCTCATCTTCTTGTTCGCACCCTCTGCAGCGTGCTGATTCTGACAGCCCCATTGATATGGAGATGCTGTTCTTTGAATTTATTTTAGTTTACGGTTAGCTGTTAATTTTTGGGTTTTCGTTACCCAGACAACTGCACCGTATGTTAGCATACGTCTTATGATAGCCGTGTAAATCCATGCGACGACTCTGGGGAAGAAACCCCAGGTGCGTCTCACGATTCGGCGGCATTGTTCATAAGCAATGCATGCTCTTTTAACTCTGTTTTCTAAATGCGAGTTCCATGTTAACTTGCTGTCAATGGTGAGACCTAGGTACTACACGTCTATTGCAAAGTTTAGTTTTGTGTTTAGGAGTTCTGGAGGTTTTAATTCCATTTTCATCCTTTTCTGTCTTCTTAGGATTGATATACAATAAATGGTCCTTGCACCAAAAATGGCTTCTATATGGCCTGAAAGGTGTAATAGTCGGGACTGGCCCAAATCGAGTTCCTGAGAGTTTTCGAGGTCGCTGATCACGATTATGATATTCAAATTGAACCACAGCCGACCTGGAACTCAGGAACGCCGATGAACGTTATCCCAAAATTCACGCGTGTCAGGAGAGAAACTTGGTGCTTGGGGGTTTTTTGGGTTGCTGGATTCAAATATAACATCGGAGAATACACCTGATGCGCTCGAACCGGCACGTGGACGTCATCTCCGAGAAGTTTCTTGCCAAGATTGCCAAAAACAAGCCAAAAAACCTTGTAGGGGTATTTTTTGGGGCTTCTGATCCACATTTCACGTCTAAAACGATCCCCTAACACCTAGAGCACCGAAACGTCGTCTCCGAAAGTTCTCCAGACACAATCGCTAAAGACAAACCGAAAATCATCATGGGCGTTTCTAGGCACGCGGAATCAAAATTCCATCACGAAAACGTACCTCCGGAGACCTGGTATACTGGAACTCCGGCCTGAACGTCATCTGATAGGGTTTCCTCACACAATCGAGACTATTATGTCTTAATAGAGATTCCCGTATACCTCAATGTATGTATATATTTCCGTATGAGGAAGTAAAGTCGGGGACTCTATACTGTATCGTTTAAACTACTCTTTATACTTGACAATCGAGTGTAAAGGAATACATGGGTAAAGGATAGACGCATTAGAATCGGTGGATGGGGCATTCCGGATCTTTTAGATACCGGGGAAAACTATCACATAAAAGTAATTCTTGAATTAAGGCCGTAACCGAGCGTGATGAAACCTTCTAGACGTCAAATCTATTCGCAGAGTAAAAGAACATTGGATTCACTCAATTTTCATGAGAATACCACTCAATTACTACGTCCCAAACAGGACTTTCCGGCCCTTAAGGGATCGTTTTCCCGGTCCCAAAGGGAGAATTCCAGTTGGCCATAAACTTTTCGATCACAGTCTGAGTTCGAGAACTGGGACATAAATAAGGATATAAAAATACCAATGTAGCGATTACAACGTCCGAAACACGATTTTCCGGGCCTCTAAAGGAAAGGGCCATTTTCCCGGTCCCAAACGGGGAATTACAGTTGGCCATAAACTTTTCGAGCACGGTATTCATTCCAAAATTCAAAAGTACATAAGAATACCACCAATGTCATTGCGATGTTTGAAACACGATTTTCCGTCCCCTGAGGGAACATTTTTCTGGTCCCAAACGTGAAATTTCAGTTAGCCATTAACTTTTTGAGCACAGTGTTTATTCCAGAATTCAAAAGTACATAAAAATACCACTGATGCCATTGCGACGTCCGAAACACGATTTTCCGGCCCTTACGACCGGGCCATTTTCCCCCCCGCACGGAGAATTCTTCGACCACAAACCCGACTTTGGCTTTAGATAGCACCTTCAACCACGCCTCATATCAAAATACATCTTTCATGCCATATAGAGGCCATTTTTGGCCGCTGGGGCCAATTCCAGACGTGGAGGGCCATTTCTGAGATCGGGATCGGATTCACCGTCGAAAAATACCATTATTTTTTATTGTGTCCTAGAATCTAGAATGATAAAATAAAAAATCATTAACATCAATAAAACAGAAAACTATTTTATTTTCTTTTCGAAAAGTTTGATTAGATTGGCGTTAACATTTTCTTCCTCTCTTATTTTTCTATTTACGGGCCATCAACAGTTTTAAGAGCGTTCTAACTCATTTCCGATTCCAAAACCATTCATAGATGCGCTTGCGCAGTACATCGTTCATGAACTGATGTTGGTATGATACAAAAACGGTACCAAACATCAAGTTGGAACAAATCTAATGATTTTAAAACATTTGCAATTAATGTCAGATGATGATCAAGAATATGACCTGGCAGACATTCTGAAAGTCAATTTATTCCTGATCCAATTATCAATAACTAATAATAACAATATAAAACTTTGTCTAATTTATACACCTACAAGGTTCTGGTAATAACACCAAATGTTTTTTCCTTTTGAAATATCATTAAAACATCTATATTTCATTAGTATTGTTATATATTTTAAATACCATCTTTTTTTAGCTTTAAATGTTGAATACATATTAGACACCATGGCAAAAGTTCATCGGATGGGTTTCAAATCACATGGCAGTCACACGTTCAACAGAACAATTATCCTGCGGAAAGATGGCGCCGAAAGTTGCAAAACAGAAGAAATTTATATGAGAAACGAAATAAAGGACAAACTGACACCGCTTGAAGCCGAAGTTAAATTTTATATGATTGAAGACAATTCTTATGAACAATTAAGAAATCCATTGTCTCAATTAAAACCAGTTTTGGACTTGAATAATCCACCTTCTAGGACAGATGCGATAATGATTCAGAATAATTGTGGAGACGATAATATTTGTATACCAAATCTTCATGTCAACGTTACTTCGTAAGTACTTTTTTATTTATTTTTTTTATTTTATTTTAAATGAAATGCAAAATCAATTAAAATTTGTTTTTGGCTAAATTTCAGTAAGTCTAGTCCGATTCTAGAACTACTGAATTAGGTATTTCAAGGTCGAATTGTATAATAATGAATCACCCTGTATAATATGGGTGTTCTTGTTGAATATATGTAAAGTGTTCCTAAATAACATGTCAATATTGAAGGAGATAATTTATTGACCCATTTTATGGCTAAAATTTCATATAGATAACGATGCCTATACAAAAAATTGTAATTTTAAAAATTCAGGGTTTTTAAAAATATGCTCCTTGGGAAACCACTGGACTGAAATATTATAATCTGATAAGGTTTAAATTATGATCCTTAGTACTACAAACAAACCTGCTCAGTTTAATCAAAATGTTCAAAAATTTAAATTTAATATTCTGTATCTTAAAAAAAATATTTTCTTTTATTTATAATAATTTTATATTAAAATTATAATACACTTTTATTAAATTTATATTAAATTAATTTATATTAAATTTATATTTTTATATTAATTTTAAATTTTTATTAAATTTAACTTTATATTAAATTTATATTTCTATTAAATTTAACTTTATATTAAATTTAAATTTATATTAAATTTTATTCAGAAAATAGGCAATGAAATGACCTCTTTTAATATCTATAGCGATAAGAATATATTTTTTCTTTAAACGGATTAAAATATTTCTAATATGCTTTGAAAATTCAGAAGCAAATCCCTTCAAATATAATATTTGAACATTTTATTTCAGAAACGTCAAAGAATATCTACTGAATTCTAACACCACCCTGGAATTTGATGTAATCGTTTCTAATTTTGGGGAAGATTCTTTTGAAACGACATTTGTTATGACATATCCAACAAATGGAATATTTTATAAGAGAAGTGAAATCAAAATACCTGGCTTGATCTGTACTGAATCCACCAACAAGACGGTCGTCTGCGACATTGGAAATCCTTTACCTAGTGGAAAAATCGTAAGCTTTCTTTATTTTTTATAAATCCGAAAACCATCAATTAAGCGCCCCTCTTTACATCTTTTATCTTTAGAATCAATCTTTAACAAAAAAAATCATAATTTTATTATTTTGTCATTTTATTTATACATATATTTATGACTGGATTATTTTCAGGCCAGCTTCAAGGTTTTCTTTCAACCCTACCACAAAGGAGGTTCCCCCAATCACAGCTATCATTTTGACATTTTAGTTAATAGTTCAAATCCGGAACCTCTATCTACATTTGAGGATAATAAAAAACACATAGAAATTGAGATTTGGATTGATGCAACTATCGATATTAAAGGGTAAGTACCTACATGAAATTTTAATAATGTTTCTGTTATTATTAAATACCTTTTGAAGTAATAAGACACCAAAATACACGCCCAAATACAAAATTAATCAATTCCACGTCCCCGTACATACAGGGTATCTCATCTAGAATTGAACACAGAACAACTGAAGATTTTCGGATTAAAAATAAGAACATTAAACGAAACTCAAATACAATAATAAAAAAAAAAAATAAAAAATTATTAATGGCTATATTTTCTTACTTTTGAAAATTCTAATTTAATATCGAGAAATTGGAAATCGAAATCCGAAAAATCAGTATATCCTAAAATTAAGTGGCTGAAATAATTTGGAAAATTTGGAAACAAATCTCAAAAATCCCCTTACGAATTATTAAGACCATCCCCGAACCCCAAAGGTAAAACACATACTTGAAAATTAAAAAAAAAGCCTGTCAGCTCCTAGATTCGAACCCTGACATCTTTGTTCTGTACACAAATGTCCTACCTCTAGACCATCGCGACACTGACTGTCGAGATTCCTACCGGTAGTTTGATGTGCTAATTAGGGCCAACCGCCGTTTCAGGTTCGTTCTCAAATCTTCAAATACCTTAATGCAGCATCGGTGTATATGAGAAATGCATTGATGCATACTGAGTCCATATCTTCGTCTGCGTGAGTTAAGTTTTTAATATACTATAAGAGCAGGGCCGGTTTCTCTATTGGTTCAATTATGCAGTGTACACCCAGTTAAATTTCATAAAAGCACATTATTTTAAAATCACATATAAATATAAATTCAATTTAATATATTTATTATTTTCGTGCGTGTTAATCTTTACTTTTTTGGTCTGTCGGTTCAATATGTTGATTGAACTGAGTGGTTTCCGAGAATGTCTGTAATTAAAAAGAGAGATCAATAGATCCGTGAAACAAACAGTGTGCCTGCTTGCAACCATGATATTTTTAGCATATTTTTGTGCATCGTACGTAGATTATGTCACGACAATTAACTTTGCTTGGTCAAGGTAACTCTGACTGGGGGGTCTTTAATTCAACGATGCCACATTTAGTAGATTTTAGTAATTTCTCTATAAATTAATAAACAAGTTCAAATTTTTTTTTATTGGTGTCTTTGGCTTCGACAACTTAGGTCATTAACCTCGTGTTCTATAGGCGTTTTCGGAAACTTACTCGTATTAGAAAGATTATGAATCCTATTGTTCGTTTACCTATGATTAATAACCCTATCCGTGTTCGGAAACTAGTAGATTACTGATCCAGCTTTGTAATCGAGATCAATATTTTGTGATCCACTCTGCGAGTAGATTAGTAATAGATCCGCATGCGCACCGCAGGATTTTATAAAGGGGTAAAGCAAGTTTTTGGTGTCTGGTGTCTGCCAGTAGCTTTGAAGTTTTTTCTAGATTCAGTTAGTTATAACTTGTAATCTTTATGCCAATATTGCGACTTTATTAGTCAGGCGACAAATATGTTTAATTAAAATGAATCTTTAACAAATAAGGGTTTATAATATTGACAGTTACGCGGAAAAAGTCAAAGATTGACAGACGTAGAAACAGGAACAAGTAACTGATTATCAAACGATAACTTAGCGATGACTTATAGATTAGTGAATCTCCTGAATGAACTTTTTAGGCACTTCTTGACATGGCTTTCACCGTTGACAGGGACATAAAAGTGACTTGTGCGCAAGTAAACAAAGCTGATAAATTTATGTTTATGTTGATATTTTGAGAAGTCTAAAGTTTTTAGCATAATTGCGTTTCCCTTTTCAGTCAGCAATAATGGATGGTGCAACACTTCATTACCAACTACAATATATTTCATATTGTATCACTTCAAAGTCCTCCATATCAGTGAAAACTGCACACATCCAGTGTAAAAATGGATTCAAAATAAACATAAAATAAGGTTATGAGTTACGAGCACCACCCAGGGTTGCCAACTTTTCAAATTCCATTTACCGTACCGCGCAATTCAAATTACCGTACATGGCCTGCCAGTACCGTACACTTGTATTTTGTAAAAAAACTATATTGTGTAACTCTTCGTGTCGTGTTTCTAAAAAAAAAAGTCCTCATCATATTATTTTAATCATCGTCTGGTCCTTTTACCTAGCTTCTAAAAAAAGGCCTTATATTAGCTTATATTTTTGTACAGACTAGGTCCTTTTGAAGTTTTTAAGAACATCTGCTGCATTTTTACATTGGACAATGATGGAGTCGGTCCTTCTTGCACAACTCAGTCTTTGCTAATTCTGTTGAAAATACCGTACGTATACCGTACTTTTTATATAAATACCGTACTTTTATGTACGGTAATGACTTTGGACCATATATCGTACATTAATTGAAATTACCGTACAAGTACGGTAATTACCGTACGATTGGCAACCCTGGCACCACCACAAAACATTCAATTCAGTTGATAACTCATCATTTGATTACTAATCGCTCTTTTATATATCATTCAGCAGAAAATCATAAATCGATTGCTTCTGCTGAATGCGGCCAATAATCCAACTCGTCCGTACTAGTAGTCTAATAATACTCCATAGTGCAGAAGTGCTCTAGTACTCTAATACTTCTGTATCCCTTCCAGACCTGCCTTGTTACACTTTCCCTGCGCCACTTTAGGAACAGCACTGTTAATTAGAACCCAACAGTGAATGGTCGAATGGGGAATCCTACATATGCATTAGAATTATTATTTAATTTTTTTTTTCATTAAATAAAAATCTCTGGCCCTGTGGGATTCGAACCTGAGACCTCTCGATCTCAAAGTCATGACTCTTCCCACTGAACCAACCCACCCCCCAAATTCCAATTACTCAAACACAACTTCCTATTTAAATAATTTTGTTGCTAAAGATGATTGCTAAAAACGTTAGGGCCATACGATTATCAAAATAAATAACCAGTTATTTTAGATTAATCAATTACTTAAAAATAATCATTTCTTTACGATTTATCGATTATTTTCGATTAATCAATTCTTTTAGATTAGCCGATTATTCTCGATTAATTCATTCTTTTCGATTAATGGATTTTTTCTGATCGATTATTTTCGATAAATCGGTTCTTTTCGATTCTTTTCAATTCTTTTCGATTCTTTTGAATTCTTTTGAATTCTTTTCGATTCTTTTCGATTCTTTTCGATTCTTTTTGATTCTTTTCGATTCTTTTCGATTCTTTTCGATTCTTTTCGATTCTTTTCGATTCTTTTCGATTATTTTCGATTCTTTTCGATTCTTTTCGATTCTTTTCGATTCTTTTCGATTCTTTTCGATTCTTTTCGATTCTTTTCGATTCTTTTCGATTCTTTTCGATTCTTTTCGATTCTTTTCGATTCTTTTCGATTCTTTTCGATTCTTTTCGATTCTTTTCGATTCTTTTCGATTCTTTTCGATTCTTTTCGATTCTTTTCGATTCTTTTCGATTCTTTTCGATTCTTTTCGATTCTTTTCGATTCTTTTCGATTCTTTTCGATTCTTTTCGATTCTTTTCGATTCTTTTCGATTCTTTTCGATTCTTTTCGATTCTTTTCGATTCTTTTCGATTCTTTTCGATTCTTTTCGATTCTTTTCGATTCTTTTCGATTCTTTTCGATTCTTTTCGATTCTTTTCGATTCTTTTCGATTCTTTTCGATTCTTTTCGATTCTTTTCGATTCTTTTCGATTCTTTTCGATTCTTTTCGATTCTTTTCGATTCTTTTCGATTCTTTTCGATTCTTTTCGATTCTTTTCGATTCTTTTCGATTCTTTTCGATTCTTTTCGATTCTTTTCGATTCTTTTCGATTCTTTTCGATTCTTTTCGATTCTTTTCGATTCTTTTCGATTCTTTTCGATTCTTTTCGATTCTTTTCGATTCTTTTCGATTCTTTTCGATTCTTTTCGATTCTTTTCGATTCTTTTCGATTCTTTTCGATTCTTTTCGATTCTTTTCGATTCTTTTCGATTCTTTTCGATTCTTTTCGATTCTTTTCGATTCTTTTCGATTCTTTTCGATTCTTTTCGATTCTTTTCGATTCTTTTCGATTCTTTTCGATTCTTTTCGATTCTTTTCGATTCTTTTCGATTCTTTTCGATTCTTTTCGATTCTTTTCGATTCTTTTCGATTCTTTTCGATTCTTTTCGATTCTTTTCGATTCTTTTCGATTCTTTTCGATTCTTTTCGATTCTTTTCGATTCTTTTCGATTCTTTTCGATTCTTTTCGATTCTTTTCGATTCTTTTCGATTCTTTTCGATTCTTTTCGATTCTTTTCGATTCTTTTCGATTCTTTTCGATTCTTTTCGATTCTTTTCGATTCTTTTCGATTCTTTTCGATTCTTTTCGATTCTTTTCGATTCTTTTCGATTCTTTTCGATTCTTTTCGATTCTTTTCGATTCTTTTCGATTCTTTTCGATTCTTTTCGATTCTTTTCGATTCTTTTCGATTCTTTTCGATTCTTTTCGATTCTTTTCGATTCTTTTCGATTCTTTTCGATTCTTTTCGATTCTTTTCGATTCTTTTCGATTCTTTTCGATTCTTTTCGATTCTTTTCGATTCTTTTCGATTCTTTTCGATTCTTTTCGATTCTTTTCGATTCTTTTCGATTCTTTTCGATTCTTTTCGATTCTTTTCGATTCTTTTCGATTCTTTTCGATTCTTTTCGATTATTTTCGATTCTTTTCGATTCTTTTCGATTCTTTTCGATTCTTTTCGATTCTTTTCGATTCTTTTCGATTCTTTTCGATTCTTTTCGATTCTTTTCGATTCTTTTCGATTCTTTTCGATTCTTTTCGATTCTTTTCGATTCTTTTCGATTCTTTTCGATTCTTTTCGATTCTTTTCGATTCTTTTCGATTCTTTTCGATTCTTTTCGATTCTTTTCGATTCTTTTCGATTCTTTTCGATTCTTTTCGATTCTTTTCGATTCTTTTCGATTCTTTTCGATTCTTTTCGATTCTTTTCGATTCTTTTCGATTCTTTTCGATTCTTTTCGATTCTTTTCGATTCTTTTAGATTATGTTCGGTTAATCGACTTTTTCGATTAAATGATTTTTTGATTAATCGATTATTTTCTATTAATTGAATATTTTCGATTAATCAATTCTTTTCGATTAATCGATTATTAATCAGTAGAGTACAGCAAGTTAATTAATAATTTAAGTTTTTGAAACAGTGATATTGTAATCGATTAATCAAAATCGAATATAATAGTTACCTCTAAAAAATCGAAAATATCCGATTAATCTAAAATAACCGATTAATTAAAAAAAATATTATCGATTTTGTATTTTGTTCTGGGTTTGCTGTTAGGCTGGGCCAAAATAGGTATATTTTTAAAAAATATAAAAATTAAGTTTACAATACCAATCAAAACTTTTGCTTTGCTTACTTTTCGTATTTTCCTCTACAGCCCCCTTTAGGGATGAAAAGTTTGACGTACAATACCTACTGAAACTTACATTTTAGTGTTTGTATTCACACTCTTTATTTTTAATATTTTTAAATAACATCTTCAGCCCTCTACTGCCCCTTTTAACCAATGTTTAACCCTTTTGTCTTTAAACAGCACATTTTTTTAAAACAAATGTACACCCAACTCTGTGGTGTACTGTGAATAGTTACGTTTTCTCAGAGTATCTCTGTGGTAGAACTAGCCCTGTTTCTTTTTTATATTGTTCTTTTTTTGTGGCTGGGTCTTAATAAATTGCAAGATTCTGATTCATATTTTTTTTAATATTTCGATTTCTCTTTGTTTATTCGATAACATTTTCTGTTTCTTCACGATCTACATTTCCTATGCTCATTTTTCTGACCGATCTCTGATCAGAAAGAAAATTTTGTTCCTTAGTAGGTACTTTCTGGGTCTTCTCACACATCCATGCAGAAAAATCGCATTTACAAGCAGCTATGTCAAGTAATTTTTTATGACACTCTATTTTAAATGTATTTACCTTCTCGTCATAGCTGTTGTTTCGCTTGCTTCTGGGATATCTTATTAAATTCTTATATTTTTTATAATACTTCACTATTATTTGCACAATTCTGTCGTCTGAAAGAGTTGGAATTGATGCCTCTTTCCAAATGTTTTCAATTTCGTGCACAAGTTCATTGCAAACTTCTAAATAACCTGATTCTTTTCCACTATATTTTTGATATTTTTATTCATAGCATATGAATAAATAACATCGTAACATTTGTTCAATTGTCTATATTTTATAATAATTTTTTTTTTTTTTTCAGTCAAACATACTCTTCTCTTCAACCTCTGTCGCATTATAACAACACTATATTCAAGGGATCCATAAAGGATGTGAGAAAAGAGACAGAGATTGGCCCGCAAGTGACTCATGTCTATTTTCTGACGAACCAGGGTCCTTCCCAAATTCAACGAGCAGAAGTATTCCTCCTTTGGCCTTTGACCACTCTCGGTGATGAAGATCTGCTATACCTTCTGGAGCAACCCATTACCAAAGGCAACGTTAAGTGCGATTGGTCGCCGTTGGTCAATTACAGAAAGTTGGAAGTGAGTTTAGAAATTAAAATTTAAACTATTTAAAATTCATTGATTTTGTCCTAATTCTTGACATTTCTTTTATTTTTAGTTGGAATCCTACAATAATACAATCTGGGAACGTCTGAAAATCGACGTTTCAGCATTTAATGGTGGTACTGCGAGCGCGCACAAGAAAGATAAAAATGAAGGAGTTATTGAAACAGATCATGGTAAGTTTTTATGTTTTTTTTTTTTTGTTTTTGGGATATAAACAGGATGAACCTAATATAGTAACCACAGATCGTTAAATACAAATTAAAACTCGCCAAATGATGCCAATATCAAACCGAAAAAATTGGATATCCAAATATTAAAGCAATATATAAGATGTGACGATTAATTCAACTAAAAATGAGGCCTTACTGATGTTATACATATACAAGGTGATTTCGAAGTTTATAGGTAGGTACTTCTTTTTTAACTTTTTTACAGAATTATAAAATCTAAATCCAGACATGTCATTAGTCGGGAAGTGCCTGACCTTTTAGATATTACTTTTCCGAAAGAGGTCACCAGATCTAAATCCTTGTGATTTTTTTTTTTAATTATTTATTTTTTATTTATGGTGTTTTGAATTTTCTTCTAAGTTATTTTATTGATTTCTATAGACAGTTAAAAGGAAGTATCAATTTTGGAATCACCCTTTATAAGTACCTATGAACTTGAGAAATAAAACTAGGACTTATAAAATAGAATACAAATTATGTTTCAGAATTTAATAGTGGTGGTACGAGTGGCGAAGCCATAGAAACAAACAGTGGTAAGTTTTTTATTTTTTATTCATTTTGTATTTTCACCATCAACAGGGCTAAAACAATATCCACAGATAGATACAAAAAAATTATATAACACGACAAACTTGTATTTTGTGCTAAATTTTGATAATATCCATATTATATCTAAAATTTTAAAAAATGTTTTTTAAATGATTATTAGGTAGGTATATAAATGTAGACAGTATTAAATACAACAATAATCTCCTTATAATTCACCCCCTTAAAATTGAACTCCTAAAAATAATTATTATAATATTAAATACAAATACAAGAGCATTAAAAATTGTATAAAATCTGATTTAATATATAGAAAAGATAAAAAAAACTGTAATACATTGCCCTAAAATAAGTTATCTACTTTAATGGATTGTAGTCTTATATAGATAAGCACCGATGGATTTGAACTCGTCCTAACATATTAATAAAACAATAAACACGTAAATTAAAATAGCATGTGTTTACCTTATATTAACGATAACTTTATTTCTGTTTAGGCATCGATAGTGGTATTGGCGTTGTTAATAAAAATCAAGACAAACTCGACAAGGAAATTAAACAATCAGGTGGAGATTCTTCTAGTGTTATTCAAGATCGTCACAATGAAACAAGCGAACACATGCGGAGCTGGGGAACTTTAAATCCACATGGAGAGTACGAATATACAGTCAGCAAATATTTTATTGTAAGTACCTAAATGCTCATGTAACTACTTATACGGGGCAGTGGGGTAAGCTGGGGAGGGACAATTTAAATTTACCGCCTTAAAGTGCCATATTACCAGTATAATGTCCTTTTACACTAGTAGTTCTGTGATACATAAATGTTTAGCCGATTTCGGTCACTCATGAACTATTTGAAGAGTACAGGGAAAAGGATCAGGGTCACAAAAACTAATTTTCGTAGAACAATCAAAACAAAGTTTACAGACAGAGTCCAGGGTGCGTATTCTTGAAAACGAGAGAAACTGAAACTCCCCGGGGAATATATTCACTTTATTTTTACTATCCCAAAAAATTGGTATTCTTGAAATAACGTGAAAGCCAAGGGAGGAGAAAGTAGATGGTGAAAATAAATACAGAGTTGTCAGATCGTTTTAGATCATCCGACCAATTAGAAACTACGAGCTTTTGACAGCAAATGTCACTTCTGGCATTTTAAGAATTTAGGTTATTATGATTTCGTTTTATCGACAACGGAATATTGACTTTTTCACGTATACACATTTTAAAATACTATTGTTGATTAAAAATAATATTAAATAATTATCAAACTAAAAATTCAAATATCTTATAATTCAAGTAATATTTTTCTAAATGTTTAGTTTTAATTTTAAAACGTCTTTATTTATAGTTAAAAACTCTACGATTGTAGGAGGTAGGTAGTAGGTAACTACCTAATTACTTTCCTAAATAATTATTCATTTTAAAAACACGAGTCAAAGTACAAACAAATTTAAAAGATGTTATTACTATTCACATAATTAAAGTATGTGTTACTATTGGAAAAGGGGAGTATTATAGTGTACGGGGATAGTTTTACACTACTACCTTTTATAACTAAAGAAGTTGTTGCTCCATTTTGTCAATTTGTCTAAAATGTATCTGTATTGAATAAAAATTATTCTTATTATTTTCGCGTCTAAATCCATTTTAAAGGGAAAGTAAATAGCGCAAATATATAAATATACCTGAAAACTACTAACAACATCAATGAGGTTATAGTAATATTTTGATTTTTATTTATTTAATTTCTGACAAGCACTGCGCATGCTTGTGAATTGAATTCTCTCGTTATTTTCATTCTCTCTACCTAAAAGGATGTGGAATATACTCCAGATTCTTAAATCTAAACATAAAATGGGCTGTAAGCAATAGTGCCAGTGTAGTTCAAACAGAGCTAACGGGGATTCTCATAGCTGCAAAAGAAATAACCAGAAACAATATCACTGGAAGGAACATGCTTATTTATACAGATAGCAGACAAGCACTACTCACCCTGAACAGACCACGAATGTATTCAGGGTTAGTAGTAGAATGTCACGAAGCTTTGGCCGACGTATTCATCAACAACGTGGTCACCTTAAGATGGACTAAAGGTCACGCCACATCGAAAGGTAATTGTCTTGCTGATTCACTAGCCAAGAAAGCAGCCAACCAAATACTTTTTGGACCTGGCCCTTCTATTGGCCTGACAAAATCGGTAGTGACAGACCTAATCAAAGAACATTCCCTTGTGAAATTCAAGGAAAGATGGGATGAAACAAGAAACTGCAAAGTTGCCAGAGAGCTCTTAAGTTATCCTGACAACACTTCATCAAACAAATACTTGACTATGACTTGACAGAATCTGCGCCTAGTCACAGGCATTCTGACTGGTCATTGCCAAGTACGAAAGCATTTCCATATCATGGGGCTGTCAGAATCCGCACTCTGCAGAAGGTTCGAACAAGAGCATATCCTTTACGATTGCTCGACGCTCTTATTTATAAGATGATTTGTGTTCGGCGAGTATCGGCTAACACCGGCCGATATAAGAGAAGCACCTCGGCGACGATGTCAACTACATTAAATCTGTAGGCTGGCTCACGAGCTAGGAGGTGCCTATCTTCTCAGGAGAATGCACAATGGGCCTAATGAGGCCTAAGTACCGTGGGGTAACCCACCCTGTATATTTCAAAATAATTTTAAAACATAGTGTTAAATGACATGTATACCATTTTAAGATAGATATGTACACTGTATATACAAAAAATTACAATTTACAAAGTTTATTGTCAATTTTTTTAATTTTTGATGAAGGAGAAGATTAAATAATGATTATTTTAAAAAACCTATTCTACTATTGAAATTGTTTATGCTAATATTTTCATAAAATTAAAAGTAAAAGTTAAAAGTAATTGTTTCTAACATGCAAATATAATAAACACACATACATAAATATCTATTATTCCTGTATTCCTCAGTCAAAATAAAAATTTATATAGGTTAAAATAAGAATTAATATATCTACCTACACTAAATTGATTATTAATTTGTGTGAAATTAAATTAAGTTTCAATTTTCAATAATATTTATTATGCCAAAAATCAAAAATCAAAAATCTTAAGAATGGTTAGTTATTATATTAAATTTCACTGAATAATAACAAAAATGAAAATAGAATATAAATAAAATTGCTAATAATACTAATTAATTACAATTACTTACAACTTACAATTACTTATCATCTTTCACAGGCATAGTTTTCACTTTTCACGATCGCATTACATAAGATACAATACAAATACAATATCAGTTATCAATTATCAATCAAATCAAAACCAGAAATAGAAATCAAATCAGTTAAGTAAATAAATATTATTTATGTTATTGAGATGAAGAAAACAATAGTAATGCAGAGGCATTTTGATGAACCTTTTCTTTTATATTATTTTTAATGTAGGTAGGGGTAGCAGACAAAGTAAACATTACCATTTTGAAATGATAAAAAATAATAATTTTCTCATATTTTGTCCACCGCACCATTTGATGCGGCCGCCTAACAAACGCTATCAAAGCGTCGGCATACGGCAGTCGCAGCCATGGACGGCACGCCCCTGTCTGCGAGTATCTGATGTCATTAAAGAGGGCACAAATTCATTCGTAGCTCATATTCATCCCCATACATCAAATTTGCCAGAAATTGATAGCAGTTATCAAAGAGAGTCCACGTTAGAAACGAATTTCGAAAGGTATTTTGCGGGTTACCTAATGAAAAAATGCACATCTATACATTTGTACAATTTGCGAGGAATATTCAAAATTTGGACGATACATCTGTATTTTGTTACTATAAAGCTTATAACAGCTCCAATTTAGATTTATTTGGTAACTTTGGTAACTTAAACATGCCACATTAAGATTTTGTAAAATTTATCTCCTTTTTAGAGGTAATATTTCAAATAAATTTCGAAAATATTAATACACAAAATATAATAGATACGTTTCAAAGTATTTGTAGAAATACAAGTTTTGCACATAATTATTTAATAAAATTTTTCGGTAAAGTAAGATTATTTTATACTCTTAAATGTATTAACCAAAATTATAAAAGACAAAAAGGTTGTCATTTGGAAAGATAAGTAAATATTTTTTTTATATATATAAATCTTATACTTACCTATATTTGTAATGTATGAACTTTAAAAATAAATCAATAGCTACCCAATATTTTTTTTTATTTTCCTGACTATTTCTTTCGGTGCGCCTATGGAATACAAGTAATAACTAAAAGACGAGGTCATAGCTCGTCGGCATCAACTACAAAGGAATTAAATGAGAGATATCCTTCTGGTTATTATTTATTCTTGTGTCAAAACTATTTTACAAAATAATAATTAGAGTTTTAAACAAAAGCGCAACAAACACGAAACTTCCAAACGTTTCTCTTTAGACATCAGGCAGTTATACATTTTTGGAATTAAACATTAGAGGATAATATAAAAATTCAATATTATAATATGCTCGTATTATTTTGTGACACAAAGTTATGAGTCTTTATTCTTTAATCTATATCTTGGTCACATCTGAAATTACTTTCCTTTAATATAAAGTTTTTGAATGTTGTGATATTGTCTGAAAATAAAAAAAAGAGAAGCCTATCTAGAATTAGGCACTGAAATAATTACATATTTTGTAGAGATAGAACCATTTGTAACATTATCGATAAATGTTTACTAAAAAGTAAAATTTGTAAAACTTCTATCACGTCCAGCTTATACTTTCTGTTATTTCACGTAAATTATTTTTCTAGACTTATGAAAACGGTGAACCAGTGACAAAATGGGAAAACACAACCACAATCAGAGACGCTCAAGGCAACATTTTACGCACCTTGTACTACAACGACAACACAGGGTCCCATAGCGGAAGCCAGTTGGACTCTCTGAACTATAAAATTGGTCTTAAACAAGGAGAATATGAACACAAAACTGCGAAATGGTTTACAACGTACGTCAATGGTGAAGCAATCACGAGGTGGGAGAATAAGACAGTCGTTACAGATTTGAATGGAAATGTTCTAAGAAGTTACGTATGGGATGATTATACTGGGGAGTATAGATTAGAAACAGGTAAATGTTTTTATTTACAACCATATATGTAATGCTGTCATTACTAATATTATTAAAGGTTGGGAAGTATCATATTACAAACCTCTACTTCCCGCCCTCACTTCCCGCCCTCATATCATCTATTCTAGAACATTTTTTTGACAAATTTTATAATACCTATTTAATGGCAAACAATAAAAAATAACAATGAACTAAAATACAATATACTACTTATTGATATTAATTGTTAAATTTGAATTATTGTAAACGTTTATCGAAATATTTGAGGCAGTACCAGCGCTGGCGCCTTCAACAATTGTCTCTTTGGTCGACAAATTAATTTCATGTTGAACGACTGAGGTTTGTGAACTACTTGCAATAGCTACATGGCACTTCGGGACAGCATAGTGGCAGTTTTCGTTTTATTCTCCATTGAACCATCCACATAACCTTCTGCCACAGTACTAGATTTCCATCCTCCCAGCATTTTTAATTGGAGTACATTTGCACCACTGTTGGCAAGTAACGTAGCAACGGTTCTTCTGAGAGCGTGGCCTGTAAAGCATTTCCAGTTCTCTAAATTCAAAAAAGTAGCAATTTTTCCGGGAAAATTAGTTATTATATTGTGCCCAATTGGTAGATTTCTTGCTATTCCTCCTCTAAGCTAAACAAAAAATCTATAGATTTCTATGTTTTTTCTCAAATTTATGTAGTCTCGAATAATCTTCACCCATACTATATCAGTAATGAGAAATGATCTACTTGTATGTGTTTGAGAAGCTGAAGCTAGCGGCCAAAGCACGCAGCGGCCGAGGCAAAACCAGGGCCGTTACGAGCGTTCAGCGCCCCGTCCCTAAAAAATTAATGAATTCATAAATAATTTAGTTACCGGCAATGGAGGTTGCAAATAAAGTCCTTAGAGAAGAGGAAACATTTGGACCCAATGGGCAGCAAGAAACAGTAGGCCCAAAATAAAAAAAAATACGAATAATAGTAATTCTTGCTCCGAAAAAATTGTTCGGTATCAGTTTTGATCCAACTCTGGAACTCAGAAGATCCAGGTGCCTCTTAGGACCCTAAGGAATTTTTTTTAAAGGCTTAAGCCCGTAGACTGGGCCCAAAATCTGATTAGGTAAAAATTTTCACTCAAAAAAAAATTGTTGGTGTCAATTCCGACCCAAGTCGAGGCTTCAAGAGGTTCAAGTGCCTCTGAGGGACTTGGGAAATTCTTTTGGAAAGGGTTAAGCCCGTAGACTGGGCCCAATGTCATAAAACTTCCAAATTTTGACATTTTTTGCTCAAAAAAAAAATTCTTTGGTGTCAGTTCCGACCCAAGTCCGGGTCTTAAGAGGTTCAAGTGCCTCTAAGGGACCTAGAAAATTTTTTTTAGAAGGGTTATACCCGTAGACTGGGCCCAATATCATCAAAACTCGGAATTTTGAGATTTTCGCTCAAAAAAAATTCTTTGGTGTCAGTTCCAACCCAAGTCCGGGTCTCAAGAGGTTCAAGTGCCTCTGAGATATTTGACAAATTTTTTTGGAAAGGGTTAAGCCCGTAGACAGTGCCCAATGTCATAAAACTTCCAAATTTTGAGATTTTTCGTTCAAAAAAAATTCTTCGGTGTCTGTTCCAACCGAAGTCGAGGTCTCAAGAGGTTCAAGTGCCTCTGAGAAACCTAGAGAATTTTTTTGAGAAGGTTTATACCCGTAGAGTGGGCCCAATGTCATCAAAACTCGGAATTTTGAGATTTTTCGCTCAAAAAAATTCTTTGGTGTCACTTCCAACCCAAGTCCGGGTCTTAAGAGGTTCAAGTCCCTCTAAGAGACCTAGAAATTTTTTTTGAAAAGGGTTAAACCCGTAGACTGGGCCCAATGTCATAAAACTTCCAAATTTTGACATTTTTTGCTCAAAAAAAAATTCTTTGGTGTCAGTTCCGACGCAAGTCCGGGTCTTAAGAGGTTCAAGTGCCTCTGAGGGACCAAGAGAATTTTTTTGAAAATTGTTATACCCGTAGACTGGGCCCAACGTCATTAACACTCCGAATTTTAAGATGTTTCGCCCAAAAAAATTCTTTAGTGTCAGTTCCAAAACTCAAGTCCGGGTCTCAAGAGGTTTAAGTGCCTCTGAGGGATTGACAATTTTTTTTTGGAAAGGGTTAAGCCCGTAGACTGGGCCCAATGTCTTAAAACTTCCAAATTTTGACATTTTTGGCTCAAAAAAAATTCTCAAAATTTCGAGTTTTGATGATATTGGGCCCAGTCTACGGGTATAGCCCTTCCCAAAAAAATTCTCTCGGTCCCTTAAAGGCAATTGAACCTCTTAAAATCCGTACTTGGGTCGGAACTGACAGCAAAGTTTTTTTTTGAGCGAAAAATCTCAAAATTCGGAAGTTTTATGATATTGGGCCCAGTCTACGGGCTTAACCCCTTCCAAAAAAATTCCTTAAGTCCCTCAGAGGCACTTGAACCTCTTAAAACCCGTACTTGGGTTGGAACTGACACCAAAGAATTTATTTGAGCGAAAAATCTCAAAATATCGAGTTTTGATGACATTGGGCTCAGTCTACGGGCTTTACCATTTCCAAAAAAATTCGTCCAGTCCTTCAGAGGCACTTGAACCTCTTGAGAGTCGGACTTTTGTTGGAACTGACACCAAAGAATTTTTTTATCGAAAAATCTCAAAATTCGGAAGTTTTATGACATTGGGCCCAGTCTACGGATTTAACCCTTTTCAAAAAAAATCTTTAGGTTCCTTAGAGGCACTTGAACTTCTTAAGACCCGGACTTGGGTCGGAACTGACACCAAAGAATTTTTTTTGAGCAAAACATGTCAAATAATATAATAATTATTTTTCAACACCCTCTCTTAATTATTAAAATATAGCTAACCGAAATTACATAGAAGTACATTTTTATGTTTGTTAAATTTTGTTTTTTCAAGTGGTTTTGTTAGGATGTCCGCTACTTGTTCTTCGGAACTCTTGTATTGAATTTTTATAAATTCCTCTTGTACCTTCTCGCTGATAAAGTGGTATCTTACATCTATGTCCTGTCTTTATGAGTGCAATGACACTTTGATTGTCTATGTTTAGGTACACATTCTGTATACCATTATCCGTTAATTCATTTAATAAACTCTTGTATTGGAGTTCCTTCACGCAGTCAGCTGCTGCTATGTACTCTGCCTCTGTGCTTGAAAGAGCTACTATAGGTTGTTTTGTTGAACACCATGCCACAGGAGCATTGCAGTGGTACTTTTCCGTGTTTCAGGATTTCCTGCAAAATCCGAGTCGCAATATGCGATTAGATCCGTTTTACTTTTACTATTAAAATATTTTAATCCTAAATCTTTACTGGTGTTGAGATACTTCAAAATTCTTGTAACATTATTTACATCATAGTCAGTGGGTTTCTCCATATATCTACTAGAGTAATTCACTGAATATGATATATCAGGCCTGGTTTTATTAGATATATACAGGGTGATTCATAACTATTGGGACATAATCTAAGGTCAGATTATTTGGAGCAAAATATGGCGATAGGGCCAAATATACCTTAATAAAATATTGTTGTGGAATAAGATACAGGGTGATAAATAATAATAATAGTAATAATAATAGACTATATTGGGGGTGGGTTGGCTCAGTGGTTAGAGTCATGACTTTGAGATCGAAAGGTCTCAGGATCGAATCCCACCGGTGTCAGGGATTTTTATTTAATTAAAAAAAAATTAAATATTAATTCTAATGCATAGGTAGGATTCCCCACTCGACCATTCACTGTTGGGTTCTAATTAACAGTGCTGTTCCTAAAGTGGCGCTGGGAAGCAGTAACAAAGCCTACACAGAACACGAGGCTAATGGCCGTAGTAGTCGACGCCGCTGACACCAAATTAAATAGACTATATTCAAACAGCAAAAATAATTCACTGTCAAGAAATTACATGTACCAAACACAATTATCTGACACTCCAAAGCACACTTTCCATATGTGAAATATTTTTTTAACTCCCCATTTGATACTTGTGAGCTGCTCAATTGCGTTTTTCTCGAAAACGGGTAAAATTATCGTGTTTAAACAAGAGTACCAATATTACGTAGAAATGACGTTTACATCATATTTTCCAATCAAAAATACTAAAAAGTATTGTCAAAAAAAGCTACCACTTAATTTCATCATTAGTAATCATTCAAGTGGCGCCCCCCGTAACAAAATGAGAAATTATACATAAAATATTATCCCCTATCCAAAGATATGCCTCTGTGCCGATTTTGATAACAATTCATTAATATACAGTGACATTATAAAAAAAAAAATTCAACTTTAACGCCCTGTATCTTATTCCACAGCAATATTTTATTAAGGTTTATTTGGCCCTGTCATCATATTTTTGTACAAATAACCTGCCCTTAGCCTATGTCCCAACAGTTATGAATCACTCTGTATAGTAAACTTCCAATTGATTTTCTTTAGGGATAACTTGTATTGCAATTTTCCCTTTTAGGTACAGGGTTATAAATCATAGGGGTGTATGTAGGTTTAGATTTATTGAAAACAAATTTATCTAAAATACTGTTAAGATATTTCTTTTGACTTAGAATAATTCCATCACTTTGTTGTTTTATTTCTATGCCTAAATAATCTATTGGATGTGTACAAACAGTCATCTCAAATTCTTCATTTAGTCATCAATTATAAAGTCAATCTCTTCTTCATTGCTACCAAAAAGAAGACCGTCATCTACGTAAATAGCCAAAAATAAGGTATTAGTTTTTTGAAGTTATTCCTCGAGTATGCACTTATATTTTCACCTAATTAACCTGCTTATAACTTCTAAACAGCTGAAGGTAAAAAAGTGCAATTTTTTCTAAAATGTTTTATTTTTCCACAAGGTATGTTAAGAACATTGTGTCAAACGGGTTATGTAGGTATAAGGGTTTAAACTTTGACTTTTAAACAATGTTACGTTCATAAATAATAATTTTAATATAAAAATTACTTCTTACCTACAAATCCAAATCAGAATCGAAATCAGAAGATGAACTGTCGCAACCAATATTTACAATGAGTGGCTCGATCATTTCATCAGTATTGTCCAACTTCCACATTTTCTCTTCTTCTTTAATCGTATGATTTACTACCTTCTCCTAGTTTTCAGGCTTTACTTTATTTACAGCCTCCAAAAACAACTGTTTAACATCACTCATTTTAAAAGAATTATTTTTTCTTGAAACTTCTCCCTTTATCTGTGCCCATATCAGTTTAATCGGGTTTACTTCACAATGATATGGTGGTGATCTAACCACCGTCATCCCACGATTTTTTGCAATTTCATCAATTTCATATTTTTTGAATTTCTCTTTATGAAGGGAACACAAATGATACAGTTCTTTTCTCACAGAACCGGGATGGAACTTAATATTCTTTGAATTTAGCCAATTCTGTAAATCTTTTTTTAACCACTTGGTTGTGGGTATTTTTTCTATAAGTCTCGAGTGATAACTTGCATTATCCATTACTATTATACAGTTCTGAGGAAGAAGATCTATAATTTGTTCGAACCACTCTTTAAAGACATCAACATTCATGTCCTCATGGTAGTCACCGGTACGAGTAGATTCAAAAGTCAATAAACCACCTTTAACAAAACCGTTTGAACTACCGATGTGTACTATTATTAGTCTGCCCCCCTTTCCTGATGGTGGATTTAAACCAGTAGATAAATTATTTAAAAAAGCCTGTCTTCGACTTGTAACAGTTTCATCTTGCCAAAATTTATTTGGTTTATGTCCCTCGTTGATCCATGTTTCATCTAAATAAAATATATTTCTTCTTTGGTTTCTCATTTCTTTTATAGTCCTTAGGTAATTTCTTCTCCATACTACAATATCGCTTCTTTCTATTAAAATAGACTTTCTGGAATGCTTTTTCCATAGAAAACCTATTTCTTTTAAAAGTTTCCATAGTGTGCTTCGACTCATTTCAGGGTAATCCTTATCATCTCGAACCGTGGCAAGAACTTTGTCTACTGTCGGAAATTCTTTCCTAAATAAGAACGCATGCACTTTCCTTCGAAGTCTTTCTTTCAAAAGATTTTCTAATTGAAATTTTGGTTTTCCTGGAGCTTTACGTACTGTTTGAAACTCGCCACATTTCTCTTCTTTAACAACTGTGTAAATCGTAGATTTCCCAACACGAAGCGTACTACTAACTAATTCCACTGTGTCATCAACACTTTTACATAAATGTTTGTCTGTAAATGATTTAAAACAATTAAATATTAATGTTTTTTCATTAACTGTTAAAGGACCGATTTTTTGTCGTTTACGCGGCCCTTCCAAATTTTCCATGATCACACTAGAATTCACACTGCACCTTGCAAGTTGCAACTAAACGACATTTAGTAAACTGTCAAGAATACACAACTTGGACCTCCTTACTAAATGGAAAACCTATAATCGCATTTTCGGTGAAATTTGTTGGGAAGGTATTTATCTACTTATAATTCGATTACTGTAAGAAATTCTTGGAATTAAAATAAAACAAAATTGGCAAATAGGTACTTATTGAAAATAATCTTAAGATACGGCTATGTAATCTTTAATACACAGAGCTTTTGGCCTGTCCAAACCTTTTTCTATTGTTCTGTACAGCTTATGTTTATAAAGGACAAATAAAAGACCCAAAACTTATAATAGCTCAGGTACATTTATTACAATTTTAGGAAATATTTAGATTATTCCGTAAAAATATTTAAAATGACCGTACTAAGTTTTGCATTAGAAATGCTGTTTTATTACTCTCTCATACATAAAAATAGACTATAGCTTGAAAACCTTCTGGCAAAAACATGAAGATTTTTTCAGAAATGTTTCCATAAAGGAAAGCTGTTTTAATATCGAATTTTTTAAATTTATATTCATTTACTGCAGCTAAGGCAAATACGTCTTAGTGAAATAATATTTACAGCAGGGCTAAATGTTTCTTCATAATTTATTCCATATTCTTGGTAAAATCCCCTTATTACCAACCTAGCTTTATATCTACCTGAATCTTTTATTCTAAATACCCATTTACTAGATAAAATTTTTTCATTCTGTACCTCAGACTCATCTACATACGTCCATGTTTCATTTTTAAGCAAAGATTGTTTTTCATCTTCAATAGCTAGTTTCCATTTATCTTTTTCCTTGCCATTTATAGCCTCTTCGTTGGTCAACAAAGCATTATACCACTCAGGTTGTCTTCGTACTCTTTTATATCCTTCACTCAATATATTAGTTTCTGAAATGTTCTGTAATTGATTTTTAATTTGATTTTTTTCTTCTTCAACAAGTTAATTTGAATTGGGTACTCATTTACTACAGAAAAAGTACCCTTGATAACACTCGATTTACTCTCATGGTTTTGACAAAGTTTGTATTTTAATAATTATTGTTTATGTTCTAAAATTACTAAAATGCAATTTTCGTCAAAACCATAAGAGTAATCGAGTCTTATCAAGAGTACCTTTTTTAACGTAAATGAGTTGCGCAATCTAAATTTCATACTTAAAACTCCTTTTCTTCCATTGGCGTAGAATTTTTAAAGGTGCAATTATTTAAAAAATCAAGTTCTACGCCTATGTATTATTATCGGACAAAATTTTAATTTAATTTAATTTTGCCACATAAAACTCTACCAATATACCAAATTTCAGCAAAATCGCATATGCCGTTTTAAATTTATATGGGAAAAACGATTTAAAAATTGTTACTTTAAGGCCCTCTGGAGCTCAAACCAAGCAACTTTGTACTAAGGTAATTTTACTTAAATCGACTTATTCAGGTATTCAGGTATTCAGGTACTATCTTTGGAAGAGAGATCATAACTTTTTCTTTCATTTATGATCTTGAGACTATAACTAACTGCACAGCTAAGCATTCAAAAACATTATTTGTTTCAACCTGTAAAACACAATCTGGAGTACTAAAATAATAAAAAATTCGTTATTCACTTTGATCCAGAAAATTTCCCTATATCTTCCTCTTCTTCCCTTTTTGTATATTTTATTTCGTTTCGGCGTCTAGCAGCAAAACATATTCATGATTTATTTTCTGAAGGCACATCTGGTTCCAACATAAACGCCATCCAAGAAGAACTTCGCAGAAAACAACAACAAGAAAGAATAGAAGAAGAAAGGAGGCAAGAGCTATTTAGACAAGAACGCATCCGTCAAGCAGAAGAAGCTAAAAGATTGGAAGAACGCAAAAAAATAGAAGAACAAAATAGGCGAACACTAGAAGAACGGAGACAGGAGGAAGTGCGCAGAAGACAGGAAGCGATTCGTAAAGAAGAAGAAAAGAAGAGGGAAGAGGAGAGAATTAGATTAGAAGAGAGGAAAAGGGCCGAGGAACGAAGGATAGAGGAGGAAGAAAGAAGAAGAACTGAAGAATGGCGCAGAGAAGAGGAGAGAAGGCGGTTAGAAGAAAGCAGTAGACCAGCAGGTTCGAGATATCCAGATAATAGGTAATATTTTAATGAACTATACTAATTATGAATATCTGATTGATACACTTTTAAAAAAAGTGTCAACTTCATAAATTTAAAGTGTAAATGTTTATAGGTATGATGAAGAGAGACGAAGGGAAGAAGAACGTCGCAGGCAAGATGAAATACGTCGTGAACAAATTAGATTAACAGAAGAAAGAAGAAGACAAGAGCAATGGCGAAAACAACAGGAAGAGCAAAGGAGAATCGAAGAGGAACGAATCAGAGTTGAAGAAGAAAAAAGGAGGATCGAGGAAGAACGCAGAAGACAGCAAGTAGGAGGAGAAAGCAACAATAATTGGTCAGAAGAAAGGAGGTATTATGAAGAAAAAAGAAGACTAGCAGGGCAAGGTAACTATTTTTTTTTTTACTTTATTTGATATGTTTATATTGTTACGTTTCGTTTATTTTAGGTGGCAGTATTGATAATAAGCGAGTGGTAACAGGTTATTTTGATGAAAATGGTATTTTCCATGGAAATCCAAGTAAGTTCAATAAGTATTTATAAAAATTAGATCTATATCCTAGTAAAACGTTTACTACCCAGCTAGCACAAAAACATCCCATCTACGTTAATAAGCTGCAATTTTAGGCTCTTTAAGCTCGCATGCAATGTACTGTAAATGTAACCCTATTATCCCTGCAACTACCGAATGTCCGCAACGGCAAGACTTTTATAGCACATCTCACAGAAGTTACAAAGTGAAGTACGAAAAACATCACACTAGCACTTTTACGGTACTTACCCCGAAAGTTGCTCTGAAACGTTCTATTGATGTTATAATGTGAATTAGATCTACAGCATTATACAGTGTATCCACGGATGGGCTTAACTATACTTGTGAAAATATTTATTTTAAATTAAAAAAGTAATTCTTCATAATTTCTTGCTTCTTAAATAAATTCGATTCACATCGAGAAATTATGAAAAATAACTTTTTCTTTAATTTAAAATAAATATTTTTACAAGTATAATTAAGTCTATCCGTGGACACACATTGTGTAATGTAATACAGAGAGGCTGAAATTGAGGCTATAGTAAAATCTCAATCGAGACATGAAAATTTCAAATAAAACAAAATATTTATATAAATTTATTATTAAAATGTTCTTGAAATCAAGTACCAATAGCACAAAAGTAGAGGTAGGTGTAGGCGTGTTATTTTATTCAGTGCTGTATCCAGCGCTTGCAGCAAACCGTTCGTAAATTAAGTGATGGAAAGACGATTGTATGTGTCAATCATTCTTTTTTCCAGCTGTGAGTTCACCAATGAGCCAAGGCATCCATCGGCTTTAAAAGCCGATGGATATGTGATAGACGAATGGTGAGGATAATCAATCATTTAAGTTAACCTAAAATATAAGAGTTCAAATATAAAACTACTGCAGAATAGATAAATTACATCAATCACTGATGGAACAATTATTGAATAAAAGAACACACCTTATATCACAAACACAAGTACACATGTGAGATAGAAGAAGCTACCTAGAAAGCACTAAACGATTGGACAAAATTAGCTAAATAGTATAATAAGGTACCAATATTGCAAAGGTTCACTAAAACCTTAAATGGTGAACGATGATAAAGCTAGATTGGTGAAAAATAATAAACGAATACAACAATGACTAGGTACATATTATTATATTAGATTACTAGAGGATAGCTAAGTTCGCTGATTTCTTACCTAAGACGCAGAGATATATCTTTTTTAAATCAAGCCTTTTAACTTTTTTTGCAAAGATATTTATAAAGTGCTATAATGTAACCTAAATATGACAATTTATTAGAAGAGCATAAATTATATTTTTATATAAAAAGATTTTACTTCTCAATACATTGAATAAAAAAGAAATTGATAACTTGTTTACCTATTATTAATTAAAGGAAATTATATAGAAATTAAAAAACATGCCTTACTTTGTTGTTTTAAATAAACCAACCAATGTTAGTGTATTGAAATTTGTTTGAATTTTACAAATTTTATGCTTGATTTCCAAAGTAGATAATATATCGATGGCTCAATCAAAAACCGCCACAAGTCAAAAAACAAAGCAATTACATTTTTGGTTCAATGGATGCAAAATATCATTACGGTTTTACTTTAAATACCACCACAAACAAAAATATCCTTAAAGATAAATCATTTAAAATGTAGCCACAAACTGTGTCTAAAACTGCCTCAATTCGAGTTATTTTCTTCAAAAACACCCAAATTTTTTACAACTATGCAACAACTCACTTTTATAATCGTAATCATTTTATTTAACAGCAAAATATCGAAGCTTTTAAATAAAATATAAAGAGTATGTCAAAAACAAAATAATGATAATAGACTTACAAAATTTCAAAATGAAATTTCTCGAAATAATAGTATTTTAGTTGTGGCAGTATTTGATTGAGCCATGGATATGTAGATTTTATAAAAAACAACTGGTGTTTTTTAGCAAGACATTCTATTATACTCGAGAGTATCATCTATGATTTCTCTCAACTTTTCTGCTGGGTTTTCACTTGAACTGATGGTTGCATTTCCAGGCAATCTAGCCTGTTGAAGAGAATGAACTGCTTGAATTCTGATATACCTGACATATCATGTACCTATAGATTCACTTTTTATAAAACTTCAGGTGTTATATTCTTCTTTACACTTCTGTAGTATTTACTTTTGCTTCTAAAATTCCTAGAATGTCGAAGGAAACCTAAAAAATAATATTTTTAAAATGTATTTTTAGTTCGATAAAGTATAATTACCTTTTATAAGTATTTGGTGTAAAATGTTGCCGGACATTCGGTTAAATGTTTATCTTCTGGTTTACAACGATTGATCTGCAATTCTTTGTTTTTATTGTAGTTTTTTTTTATTTGGTGTCATCGGCATCGACTACTGAAGATACTTAATGAATGAAATAAAACTACTGTTTTTGAATGTCTTCATTGGTTCTATTTTAATTTCAGATGAATTCGTCTTTAATAAGACCGTTGTCGTAGAATCAAGTACTTCATTCCCAATAGATATTTCCGGTGGAGAAACGCATACTTTCGGAGGCAGAGAAGGTAATTTAAATGACCTTGGAACAGGTTTTACGATACAAACATTAGATTTGGGAGGTGGACGTGGTTCGTCATATAATAGGGGATCTTCAAGGAGTGGAGCTTCAGGTAGTGGATCTAGACAAGATGGACAAGGTAAATAAATAATTGAATACTTTTTATTTTCCTAAATCCATTTTTAATACAGAATTGTTTATAGACAAAATATCTAGTTTTTAAATTGTTCTTTCAGTTACGCAATTTTAGGTCTTAAAGTATGTTATTAAAGTAGTAGGAAGACATTTTAGTTTAGTAATGAATTCTGTAAATAAATAAAAATAGATATTAGGTGTCAATTTACATTTTATATATATTATTTTAAAGATTGTATTCATCTAAAAACATGTCACTACAATGACAAACCTTTAAATTACCTATTTTTTATGACCTTCAAACAATATACCGGGCGTTTCAGAGTGAAATGTACATACGTTACCGCTAGATGTGAGACACTTGGACGATTCAAAATCACTGATTATTAATGTGTTTAGCATATCTCGTTACCTAGACAAGGGGTGCTTTATCGATTTTGTATGAATTTTTTTACCAAAACTAATCACTCATTCGGCATAAAAATTTGGCAGGTAGATTTTCACAAATATAGCAAACAAAATGTCAGAGAAATCCATGTCCATCTTAACAAAATTTGGCTAATTCGTTATTCCTCAAAAACAAGTGTAAGAAATCTCTATAAAAGTAGCAGAAATAAATAACAGAAAAGAAGAAACCCAGCTAGCACAAAAATATCCCATCTACGTTAATAAGCTGCAATTTTAGGCTCTTTAAGCTCGCATGCAATGTACTGTAAATGTAACCCTATTATCCCTGCAACTACCGAATGTCCGCAACGGCAAGACTTTTATAGCACATCTCGTAGAAGTTATAAAGTGAAGTTCGGAAAACATCACACTAGCACTTTTACGGTACTTACCCCAAAAGTTGCTCTGAAACTTTCTATAGATGTTATAATGTGAATTCCTTCTACAGCATTATACAGTGTGTCCACGGATGGACCTAACAATACTTGTAAAATATTTATTTTAAATTTTAAAGTACTTCTTTATAATTTCTTTTGCTTGTTAAATAAATACGATTAACGTTGAGAAATTATGAAAAATACCTCTTTTGAAAAATTTAAAATAAATATCTTTACAAGTATAGTTATGTCCATCGTTGGATACACTATATTCAAAATAGTATATTAAGGATATAGTAAAATCTGAAGAAAACAAAATAAAAAAATTGTATAAATTTATTATTAAAAAGCTATTGAAATCAAATACCAATATCATACAAGTAGAGGTAGGTAATAATACAGGTAATGCAATTACACATGTGTGATACCATAAGGTAGCTATAAAACACTGACAAATTGGACAAAAGTAGGTATAGAGGGTATATAAGGAATATCTCAAAAGTTCACTAGAATCAAAAACATTGAACGCTTGCACGAAAGAGTATAATAAGGTACCTATATTGCAAAGGTTCACTAGTAGCTAAAATGGTGAACGATTGTACAAAAGTAATAAAAATAGGTGTATTTATATAAGGTATATTTCAAAGGTCACTAGATTTTTATTAAGATGGCAGTTGTACGATGCTAAAAAAATATATTTGCCTACAACTGGTACTAATCATAGTTTTAATACGATATAACTTGATTAAACTGAATATTGATAAATGTAAAGTTATAAGGTTTAATAGAACAGCTAATATCATTATGCATGATTATGTCACTGCAGATTCTGAACTATAAATGATCTTGGTGATATTTTTGACAGGGGCCTATCGTTTATTCCTCATTTTATTAGATTCCTTGTTCCTGCCAGACTTACTAGGCAGATTAAACTATTTTATGTATATACTCATAGAACTAACTGTGGACAGAATTTGTTTGTAGACCGACTGATGTCCAATTACAATAAGTATTTTTCAAATTATGACATTTTAGTAGGTTTTTTTTAAGCGTCGACTTTCATTATACTATATTGACTTCAATTTTATACTATGACAATTTTATTAATTTCTTTTTTATTTTATTTTAATTGATATTTTAAATGTACCATTTAGAACTTTATGAATCTGTAGCGTACTGTAAACAAATAGATAGATAAATAAATAATGTGAACTTAATTATATAGCTTCTTCCTAAAAATAACCTTGTAGATAATAAATTTACTTGTTTATTATTAAAGAAAATAATATGTATAAAGAAAATGAAAAATATGCTCGTTTAAATCGTTGCACCTATTTTTAGTTGATTTTTACTTACTTTGTTTTCCTAAATAAATAATAACCTTTATTTTGATTTTTACAAATTTGATACTTAATAATGGATGTTCAACTTATACAGAACAATGTTTTTATCATGATATTCTGCTATGAAAGAAAAAGAAATAATTTCAGATGTTATATATTCTTCTTCAACCAATTCTGTATTATTAACTTTAGCTTCTAAAATTCCTGACATTTTTACTAGAATTATAATCCACCACAAAGAAAACCTACAACACAATATTTTTAAAATTTATTTTTAGTGATTAAAATATTATTACACTAGGGCGACCATACTTACAGCAATTTTGCTGTATTGTAAAGCATTTTTAAAGTTTGTCCAGCAATTGGTATTGTGCAGCAAACGTACAGCAAAATGGCATAGGTATATGTCCAGTGAAATGCTGTATTTATCCACCAAAACGTCACTACTGTCCAGCAATGGTAATACTTAATTTACTGAAATGTAACAAATTTAAATGTTATTTATCTTTAGTAAACTACATGAGCACTTCTAACTGCCGTCCTAGCAAGAAAGGTTTTATCTGCAAAATTATCAGTTTTTTTATTTATGTGCATTTGTCTACATTTTATCTTTCTTAATACTGAAATGGAATGTCTTATTTGCATCAAAGGTACTAAAATGTTAAAAAGTTACACAAAAAAGGTTTAAAAGATAATAAATATTTATGCTAAAAATAGTTAAAAACTCGATTATTTCAAAACAACAACTTTTCAGATAGGACCTCTCTGTCTAGGATGGCAGTATATGACTTCTTTGTTTTTGTATTTTTATAGTAGTATAGGAGTAGGGCTAAGAGTATCTGTCAAAGGTATTGATACTGGTATCATGTGAAATACTTTGTGGTACAGGCATCGATACTGTTCGATATTATGTTAAAGATATCGATATTTATAAGTATCAAAGTATTGAACAAGTAAAAGATTTTTTTAAACGGCTGACAACCCCCATTCAACAGGATGGAGTGGGGAACTTAACTAAAAACAAGTGTGCATCAGTAAAGTATATTCTGTAGTTGACACCTTTTCTTTCTCTACTGGTACTCTACCTGGTACAAGTTATAGTGTCAATAACTGGCAATTTAACTTATAATTAAATAAAAAAAAAAACAGTGGTAAGGCTTAATCATATTACCAAGTTTCACCACATGCGAAAACTAAAATATTTGAACAAACCTTATTATTCCTGACCACACACATAGCGATACGATACTTGCTTCTAAGTATGGATATGGCGATAGTATTGGTAATTCAGTATCAGTGCCTAAATATTGATACTTTCATTGTTTAATATCGATACTTCTATAGTATTGAGACATCAATAAGATCCCTATTATCGTGTAAAATATAGGCAGTCATTTAATATTGCAATCTAAAAGAACAGACAATAAATAAGAAAATATGTTTCTATTTTATTGAAAAGAAGAAACTTATTCAAAGGTATAGTTTACAATTTCTTTAAAATCTCAAATAAATACAAGAAAATGTGAAAAGTGACATTTTTTTATGTTTTGTTGGTTATAACAAACGAATGGGTACGTTCGAAAACAAAATGATGTATATAGTACATTTCGTGGATACTTTTTTAGCAAGTTACTTTATTACGTTGTGTTATCATAACAGGCAGGTTAAATACGTAAGTAACAAATAGATGTTTCGCGAGGTTTTGATTTCTCTCAACAACTTCTCATGTAAGTTGCAATTACGTTATATGATAATGTTATTACGTTCCCTTAAAACAACATCGCCGAAAGGCTTGGCAACGTTATGTGCTAGCTGGGAAATATATCTTTTTCTAGCGTTTGATGACAATCCCCATACCAGTTCATGGCAAGTAGCATTAAATTACGTTCCTGCAAGTAGGAACAGTTGATAGCCTAACCAGTTGGCAGAGAACAAGTACTAGAAATTAAAAATTAAAAAAAAAAACGACTTCAAAAACATGCCAAATTTATATGGGACCACCCCTGAGGTACCCCCTTACTAACAAAAAAAGAATCATATAAATCGAACAAGGTGGTAAAGCATTATCGCTAAACATACATAAAAAATGAAGAGTTTGAAGATTTTCTCATGGACCCAATAATTAGATTTTGACCAATTATACATGGGACCACCCCTGAAGTACCCCCTTTCTAACAAAAAAAAAGAATCATTGAAATCGGACACCGTGTTAAAGAATTATCGCTGAACATACATAAAAAAAAATATCGCGACGAATTGAGAACCTCCTCAATTTTTGAAGTCGGTTAAAAATAGACTGTATGTCTTTCAAAATTGTTCTATTAATAGTTACAAAAAATGATTAAAAAAAATTAAACGGTTAAGAAAAAACGATTGAAACCAAATCACTTACCCAAACTACATCTAGGGGTGACGTGAGAGCTCTCCTTAATTCCGGTATCCAAGGGATGATCCAGGCGTTTTCCTATCACAGGTTTTGTATTCTAATTTTACAGATAAAAACGTTTTGCATCAAAAATTTAGTTTTACCGGTTCTTAGTACGCTTTATTTCGTACTGACCTTTTCAAATGCATAGTTGTCAAGTTATAGATCACTTAATGTTCACTTTATTTTAGACGAAATCACTTATGGTAAAACTGTTGCCATGGGAACGCTTAACATTGTAATGACTAAACAAAGAACCACATACCCTGGTTAGGAAATGCGTGGTTACCAAGTTACAGATAGCTGGTGTCATTTTGTAAACCAAATAAATTCACTTGTTTTAAACTTTTGGATAATAATAAAACTATGTTCTAAAAGTACTTTGTTTATTATTTTATAGATGATGTACAATTCAATCAAAATAGATAAATAAATCGACAGATGTGAATGAAAAATATCTTGAGACAATCAAATTAGCTTGTAACCTCTAGTGTGTTTATGTCTAGTAATGTAGGGTATATTTTCAATGACATTTGACAGTTGAATGACATTCATTGAAAAATGACCTTTTTCATATTTTGTACTTGTACTGATTACTGTTCTCCACGGTCTGTTTTCTAATAAAGCGTTTTTGATACTTTTCAATTTACAACTAGAAAGGACTTTTATTGAAAATAATAAATAATACTTCCATGGCACATTGCTCAACTCAACAAATAAATGATAGAAGTGTAGTGTACTGCCTCTGTTTTTATTACGTTACCATGTGATTTTTAGTTTTAGACAGTTTTAGACAGACAGATAATAAATAAAAATATAACTTGTCAACATAAAAATATATTTGTCAGAAAAAGCAAAACCTTTTATTGACTCCGACAAGAAGTACTTTTAAAGTGTATACAATTGTTATGTCAAAAAATAAGGTATTTTTTTAAATATCTGTCGTATAAAAAATGTACACAACCGAAATTAATGATAAAAAAAAACTTACCGGTAGATGCTGGTTCGTTCTCAAATATTAGGGTTTCACCACCTATGGAGGGAAAAATAGAAGGGATAGAGAGGAAGGTGGTTATTATTAACACCCGAAATCGGCAAAAGAAATATCGAAAGAATATTAATTGTAAGACCGTTAATCTATTGTTTTCACGTTCGAATTCAAGTCGCTACTGCCTTTAACATTTAGAAACTGCGCGCAGGCACGCCTTAAGAACTGTAATGGTTCCTAATAGGTAGGCAACACTAATTGCCAAAACAATATCTTTTTCGTTGATTTTAATTAGACACTTGGCAACATCGCGCAGATTTTAATTGATAGGGCATGACAGTTATAATTCTAAATTCTAATGAATAAATACATAAATGATGACTTAATTACCCTTATATGCCTTTATTATGTAATTTAAAAAAAAACTTAATTTATGGATTTTCCAGTTATATATTTGAAAAATACTCTCCTTCCTAAAGTCTAAAATGTAAGTTTTGTGAAATTGTATTTTTAAAAAAGGGCATCTTCGTAATATTTACCAAAATCCTACTTACAGAACGGTGCAAAATTGGTACCATTCATGGAAAATTTACTTGGGACCAAGGTCAGGAAAAGGGTTAATCAAGGTCTTTCATCTTTTAGAAAACGTTTAATACTAAATTTGTTTATTGAGTTGCGACGATTCAATATGTGCAGTGACAAGTAAGGTATGGATACTGTTCCAAAGTACTTTCAAATATAATTTAATTATTTAAATTAAATAACAATGGATGTCTACAAGTGTTTTGAAAAAGTATAAATTAGGTTAGGCACCTAGGTACAAGCACCTGTATGTACAGAGAGTAATAGCAGTAAAAATTATAAATTATTCATGTTTCATCAGTGCAATAATATACTAATATAAAATTTAAGTTGCATTTATAATAGGAAAAACGGGTGCTTCTCGGGCTAATGAGATGTATTTCATGAAAATTAGTAATATACAAGACCTTCGATCAATTTGTTTAGTAAGCATCAGACGATTAAAATTTATTGATTAGAGCTTTCCGGCTAATGAAAATTAGTGATTTACAAGACCAGTTAGCTTTTTTAGTAAATTTTCCCAAAACCAAGATAAAAGCAACTCGAAATTTTTTAATTACTGATAATTTTTAAAAAATATGTAAAAAATGCATCATGTATCAAAATGAAAAAGATATTGCCATTTTTTGAAACTATTTTTAATTTTTATACGTAGGTAGGCTTAAGCAACAATGGATGCAAATATATTTACATGAACAGATCTAAGGGAGTTAAGAGACAAAACATTTTTAGCGAAGTATGGAGCCCAAATATTTTACATGAGCAGGCTTAAGAGGTAAAGGGGCTAATTGTTATTGGATAAATTGCTCGAACAAGTTTGTAAACCCTAATCAAAAAGCGATATAGAATGGTTTTAAAAATGAACGCTTGTGAAAATCATCACATCACATCAGCACATGGTTTAACCTAAGTAATGCCAATGCTTCACAAACCAGAAAATTCAACGTCTTAATACTACTATCGACTTTCGGTCTTTTGTTTCAAGTTAAATCATTTCTCGTTTTTTTACGCTACGAGTTTGCCCTTGTAGGCCTCAGTCTCGATAAGGTGGAAACCACCATTTTAGCGTCTCTTGAATTTTGATAAAATTTTATACAAAACTTACACTCTATTAGGGTAATCAAAGTCATAATTTCATTTAAAAAAAAATCCAGAATTGCACTTTCTTTTTTTTATATTGCTCCTCTTAGCTAAAATATCACCCTGTATATCGAATTTTAATAAATGTTACTAGACATTTAAATAGTACATGAATCAATAAATAAAATAATGTGATAATATTTAATGGCACCGTCATGACTTTCTTACAGTAAATTTTTATAATGGTGACTACAATATTATAAATCAGTATTTTTACAATATTAAAATCAAATTTACACCTCACAAAAATTATCGCATCACTAAAATGTTTGCAATGTATGTTTATAAAAACAGGCAGTGCTAAAAAACTGTATTTCTCCTCTAATAACAGAGAGAATAAAACAATCAAAAAAATAAAATTTTACGAAAAATGAGGCTAAAGTAGGCTATTAATTATAACATGCTATTATTGCTGGTACACTCCACAGGGTGTTACGAATTTTTCAACCAAAAGCCTATATTATTGTAACATCCGGTATACACTCTAAAATTAAATTTTATTTAAAGAATCAAAGAGATTACTATTCCTAAAGAATCAACTTATCTTCCAAAAAAAGAATATCCAAATCAATCAAACGGTTCAAAAAAAACTCCAAATTTTTGAAAACTATTAGTGATGCGATAATTTTGTGTGTGTATTTTACTCTGTATTTTTAAAACTACACAAAGTAGGTACCATCTTCATTAACTTTTAACTACTGCATTTTCTAATAAGAAATTGAACATCTACACAGGACCGACCTCACTTTATTTGATAAAGTAACAGAACAAACTAACAGAAACAAATAATTAATGAAAACTAAAGTAGATTTTCAAAATGAACACCGTGAACGTCAATACACCTCTGCGAACGTTTTAACAGGTATTTTACAGATTTGTTAATTATTTCCGGTTTATTTCTAATGTTGTTACAATAACTGTGCTCGGGTATTCATTTCTTCGTTGTAAACCTCTGATTTAAAGTAGTTTTTCTTTGATATATTACTCGACCTACGTTGCCATTTAAATAATGCAGGATACAGTTCCGTGCATCACCCAACAATTTCATAATTATATATTAATTCGTTTAAAAAAAAATACCTGGTTGCCAGACTTTTTCGCAACCCTATAATGTACATTTTACTCTAAACTCTATAAAAAAAAAATCAAAAACAGAATTGTTTTTAATTACATTTTTAATTATTTTATTGGGAAAATATTGAAAGTTTTTTTTTATTTTAGGTTCAGGAAGTGGTCAAGGAGGTTACACACGGGACTGGCATACAGAAGGCGGTTACTCGACTAGTGGTCAAATCCCACCTACATTCATACACAACAGCATAGACAGAGATAATGTACCAACGGACAATCAATTTAGGTCGACTAGATCAAAAAGACAAATTACCAATAATCCTTATGAAGACATTCAAGCGCTTGTTAAGTGTAACGCCACTAAATGCATCTATATTAGATGTGTCGTAGGAGCCTTAGGAAGAGATGACGATGTTTTAATTGCTCTGAGATCTAGATTAAACGTTAGAGGACTTAAAGACGTAAGTGATATATTCTTTATTAATTAACATCCACATCTTCAACAACTCATTCACAAATCTGATTTAAAGAGTGCGAGTGCCAATATTAAACCTAGACAAGGACAAATCTATTTTTAAATTTTTTTTTTTATCTAATTTCGACATATAATAGTATATTACATAACAAGAGTAGTAAGAAGCTAATTACATGCGAGTAGAAAAGTTGCACACGAGCCGCGTTAGCGGCGAGTGTAGTAATTCTACGAGCATGTAATTGCTCTTACAACTCGAGTTATGTACTATACTTTATCTACACCCACATTCATACATTCATAATAAAAATGATTTCATAATCTATAACATTTATTAAATACAATAATTCATTAACATATCATTGATTCTTAGAATAATAATTAACGGTAAAATTTTGGCAATTTTGAATAATTATGGGTTCGTTAGTATTTTGAGGTATTTTATAAGAAGTAGATGGCACTGAAAGAGATGATGTTGATGGTGCAGAGGAATTAGACTCTATTTGATTGCTGTTATTTATGGTTTGAAGGATATTATAAGTAGAAATATTCTCATTTATTTCTGATGTGCTAGGTGGAAAATCTGTTTTTTTCAATTGACTGGATAATTTTATGAGCCGTTAAAGTTTTATTATTTAATGAATTATCAACATATCCTTCAGCAGTCGTTGAGGATTTCCAGCCTCCATGCCTTTTTAATGCGAATAAATCACCACCTGCATCAATTAAAATTGTGGCAGAAGTTCTTCTTAAACAATGGCCGGTGTATAAATTGGGATTGGGCAAGTTTAAATATTGTGCTATTTGTTTGGGTACATTTCCAATTTTATTTATACCGACCACTTGTTTGGTGCATTTTCCTTTTTGATAGTTTATGAAAAATTGATTTGTATCAAGATTTTGCACTTGCTGGCGATGTTGCATATATTGTTTGCATATTTGATAAAAGGTTCCGTTAATCACAAAAGACCTGCTTATCTTAGTTTTTGAATCAGGTATTTCAATAATCAGTATGTCACCAACATCTCTTATATCCTTGATTGGTAAATTTTTTAATTCCTGTTTCCTACATGCGCCACAAACTCCAATAATTAGAATCACCTTAAATAAAATATTGAAAAGTAAAATCACTAGCCAATACTAAATTAACTGAAGGAAAATTGCTTTAGATACAAACCTTTGTTAATAAGTATTGTGAATCAGGAGCTTCATTTAAAAATTTACTTATTTCATCAGAAGAAAAATTTTTTGATTTTTTGCTTTTAAAACCTTCCGATTGCCTTTTTAGGAATGCCTTTAATTTTGGGTATGTTTCAATATTCACGTTGTTTTTTATGGAAATGACGGTCCTTAACATGGAATATATTGCCCATATTGATGAAGGTTTAAATTGTTCCATTAGGTCCCCAAAATATGCCAAAAGCACATTTTCAGAAAATGAATTAATCTTGTTTTTTATACGCCAGTCCATAAACTTTTGGTATACTATTTCATACCTTGTTCTTGATTTTGTTGGCAGTAATTTTTCAGTGGTATTGGCAGCTTTTTCAAGAATTTCAGGTGGAGTTTCTTGAAATTCATTTTCGCTATCTGACGAAATCATATTCATTTAAAAAAATAATGCTGTAACTACAAAAATGGCGATTTTATATTTCTGAAATGTCAAAACTTATTAATCGTAACCATGGCGATCACCTAGCAACGGACTAATATGGGTAGTTTGATAAATGAAACTAGTTTTGAATTTCATTACGTAACAGTATCTGTAATGATGTATTTACTTATAAACAAAACGGTACATAATAGGCGATTTACTGGGGTGGTTGTAGATAAAGTAAATTTTGTAATCGCAGCAAGTGTCAACATAATCTACTTTTTCTAATTTTGACATTAACATATTTTGTAATCGCAGCAAGTGTCAAAACGATCTACTTTAAGCACAGTTGCAAAAAGTAGAACATTATGCAATCGAAAAATCGAAAAATCGAATAATCGAAAAATCGAAAAATCGAAAAATCGAAAAATCGAAAAATTAAAAAATCGAAAAATCGAAAAATCGAAAAATCAAAAAATCGAAAAATCGAAAAATCGAAAAATCGAAAAATCGAAAAATCGAAAAATCGAAAAATCGAAAAATAAAAAAATTAAAAAATTAAAAAAATTAAAAAATTAAAAAATTAAAAAATTAAAAAATTAAAAAATTAAAAAATTAAAAAATTAAAAAATTAAAAAATTAAAAAATTAAAAAATTAAAAAATTAAAAAATTAAAAAATTAAAAAATTAAAAAATTAAAAAATTAAAAAATTAAAAAATTAAAAAATTAAAAAATTAAAAAATTAAAAAATTAAAAAATTAAAAAATTAAAAAATTAAAAAATTAAAAAATTAAAAAATTAAAAAATTAAAAAATTAAAAAATTAAAAAATTAAAAAATTAAAAAATTAAAAAATTAAAAAATTAAAAAATTAAAAAATTAAAAAATTAAAAAATTAAAAAATTAAAAAATTAAAAAATTAAAAAATTAAAAAATTAAAAAATTAAAAAATTAAAAAATTAAAAAATTAAAAAATTAAAAAATTAAAAAATTAAAAAATTAAAAAATTAAAAAATTAAAAAATTAAAAAATTAAAAAATTAAAAAATTAAAAATTAAAAAATTAAAAAATTAAAAAATTAAAAAATTAAAAAATTAAAAAATTAAAAAATTAAAAAATTAAAAAATTAAAAAATTAAAAAATTAAAAAATTAAAAAATTAAAAAATTAAAAAATTAAAAAATTAAAAAATTAAAAAATTAAAAAATTAAAAAATTAAAAAATTAAAAAATTAAAAAATTAAAAAATTAAAAAATTAAAAAATTAAAAAATTAAAAAATTAAAAAATTAAAAAATTAAAAAATTAAAAAATTAAAAAATTAAAAAATTAAAAAATTAAAAAATTAAAAAATTAAAAAATTAAAAAATTAAAAAATTAAAAAATTAAAAAATTAAAAAATTAAAAAATTAAAAAATTAAAAAATTAAAAAATTAAAAAATTAAAAAATTAAAAAATTAAAAAATTAAAAAATTAAAAAATTAAAAAATTAAAAAATTAAAAAATTAAAAAATTAAAAAATTAAAAAATTAAAAAATTAAAAAATTAAAAAATTAAAAAATTAAAAAATTAAAAAATTAAAAAATTAAAAAATTAAAAAATTAAAAAATTAAAAAATTAAAAAATTAAAAAATTAAAAAATTAAAAAATTAAAAAATTAAAAAATTAAAAAATTAAAAAATTAAAAAATTAAAAAATTAAAAAATTAAAAAATTAAAAAATTAAAAAATTAAAAAATTAAAAAATTAAAAAATTAAAAAATTAAAAAATTAAAAAATTAAAAAATTAAAAAATTAAAAAATTAAAAAATTAAAAAATTAAAAAATTAAAAAATTAAAAAATTAAAAAATTAAAAAATTAAAAAATTAAAAAATTAAAAAATTAAAAAATTAAAAAATTAAAAAATTAAAAAATTAAAAAATTAAAAAATTAAAAAATTAAAAAATTAAAAAATTAAAAAATTAAAAAATTAAAAAATTAAAAAATTAAAAAATTAAAAAATTAAAAAATTAAAAAATTAAAAAATTAAAAAATTAAAAAATTAAAAAATTAAAAAATTAAAAAATTAAAAAATTAAAAAATTAAAAAATTAAAAAATTAAAAAATTAAAAAATTAAAAAATTAAAAAATTAAAAAATTAAAAAATTAAAAAATTAAAAAATTAAAAAATTAAAAAATTAAAAAATTAAAAAATTAAAAAATTAAAAAATTAAAAAATTAAAAAATTAAAAAATTAAAAAATTAAAAAATTAAAAAATTAAAAAATTAAAAAATTAAAAAATTAAAAAATTAAAAAATTAAAAAATTAAAAAATTAAAAAATTAAAAAATTAAAAAATTAAAAAATTAAAAAATTAAAAAATTAAAAAATTAAAAAATTAAAAAATTAAAAAATTAAAAAATTAAAAAATTAAAAAATTAAAAAATTAAAAAATTAAAAAATTAAAAAATTAAAAAATTAAAAAATTAAAAAATTAAAAAATTAAAAAATTAAAAAATTAAAAAATTAAAAAATTAAAAAATTAAAAAATTAAAAAATTAAAAAATTAAAAAATTAAAAAATTAAAAAATTAAAAAATTAAAAAATTAAAAAATTAAAAAATTAAAAAATTAAAAAATTAAAAAATTAAAAAATTAAAAAATTAAAAAATTAAAAAATTAAAAAATTAAAAAATTAAAAAATTAAAAAATTAAAAAATTAAAAAATTAAAAAATTAAAAAATTAAAAAATTAAAAAATTAAAAAATTAAAAAATTAAAAAATTAAAAAATTAAAAAATTAAAAAATTAAAAAATTAAAAAATTAAAAAATTAAAAAATTAAAAAATTAAAAAATTAAAAAATTAAAAAATTAAAAAATTAAAAAATTAAAAAATTAAAAAATTAAAAAATTAAAAAATTAAAAAATTAAAAAATTAAAAAATTAAAAAATTAAAAAATTAAAAAATTAAAAAATTAAAAAATTAAAAAATTAAAAAATTAAAAAATTAAAAAATTAAAAAATTAAAAAATTAAAAAATTAAAAAATTAAAAAATTAAAAAATTAAAAAATTAAAAAATTAAAAAATTAAAAAATTAAAAAATTAAAAAATTAAAAAATTAAAAAATTAAAAAATTAAAAAATTAAAAAATTAAAAAATTAAAAAATTAAAAAATTAAAAAATTAAAAAATTAAAAAATTAAAAAATTAAAAAATTAAAAAATTAAAAAATTAAAAAATTAAAAAATTAAAAAATTAAAAAATTAAAAAATTAAAAAATTAAAAAATTAAAAAATTAAAAAATTAAAAAATTAAAAAATTAAAAAATTAAAAAATTAAAAAATTAAAAAATTAAAAAATTAAAAAATTAAAAAATTAAAAAATTAAAAAATTGAAAAATTGAAAAATTGAAAAATTGAAAAATTGAAAAATTAAAAAATTGAAAAATTGAAAAATTGAAAAATCGAAAAATCGAAAAATCGAAAAATCTTGCCTACGGCTCGGGACGCAAACGTCACCCTGCATGAGTAATGGCTACCATAAATTGCTCGTTTAATAATATACTATTGTTTTCCTTTTAAATGGAACAATGTGGTTAGAATAGTTTTCATTGCATTTATGTAATTTTTATTTTATTTATGTAATTGTATTGTGGACTGTTTTCTAAAGGTCATGGATTTGAATCCTATCCGATTTCTTCAAATTTTTTATGCTTTATTTTCACCTTCTGGGATTCAGAAATTTATTCATTAATTTATTTCACAGAAATGCAAATAGTTTTTCCTTATAATCAAACTTAACGTTTATATTTTCAGCTCGCTGACAGTAACCAAGCAATAACATTGTCGTCCAAGATGGTTGCAGCTATTTCAGAATTGCCCTACGTCGATCCGATTAAAAAAGAAAAACAAGTTTGGAAGCAACGCGAGTTATTCACAGAAGTACCAGCGAAAGAGGCTGAATTGGTACCAGAAGTGGCACCGTTGTGGCTTTATATAGTATCTGCTGTCGCCGGTATCGTAATGTTGCTACTACTCATTTGGCTTCTAAGCAAGGTACAGTATTTATAAGTTTTTAAAAAGGTTATAAATATTATTTTATTATTCTCAATGTAAACGCCATCTATTTTTTAACATTAAGAGTATTCATAATATCCACCTAGAATACTAAATTCATAATAATTTTTGTATGACTGCCCAGATAACAATTATACATTCTTAGCATATTCTTAGTATAGACTTTTTAAGAATACGCATATGCTGAGAATATACTGTATCTGCATTTGGTACATTCTCAGAATATGCTAAGCATATGCTACGTGACGTTGTTTATACGTGCTATGCAGATACTGAGAATGTACTTCAAGTATGTGTACAGTATGCAACAGGTATCTACTTTAATTTGATAGTACGTTCTAATTATATGCTAAGTATTTAAATATAGCATATTCTAGGCATATACTAGACACCTTAATGCAGGATGTTTAATTAATATTGAACATTAAAGAATAAGTGTATATAATGAGTCTCTATTTCAAAGAATTCATACTTATTTTTATTACAAATACTATCTTTGGCCTTAACCAATCAATATTTTATTGTATCAATGGCTTGAGTTTCATTTGCTTGATTCCATTGGATCTTTATTGAACCTAAAAAATTAACAAACTTGGTACATATACAAATTAAGTGTACATAGCTAATGGAATAATTTAAATATTTTTGTCCAACATAAAACATTAAAAATTGTACATGGCATTCCACTAACAAAAACAAGAGTTACATAAATGATTATGATGTTTACTGAAAGTTTAAATATATTTTTGTTAATTACTTACCACCATTTTGTAGTTTTCGTCCTCCTTTAGCTAACTTTTCTAGTTCTTCCAGGTCAATATCTGGCCTTACAGGATTTTTTTCATAGAAAGTGTTTATGTAATTCTGGTAACACTGTATTTTAGTTTCAATCCACCATTAGTATTAACTATATTTTAATAAATTCACACTGCCAATTAATATTTGGGATATCCTGTATTCTAACGTCACTTATAGGTCCTAAAAACTATAAATATAGTAAAATTTGTTTATTTTTATATAGAACATATGATGCAATTAATTTTTATTAATTTACTTACCTCTTACAAACGAAATCAAAAAAATTTATAGGAATTGTAGGTTATGTTATTCTTTTTCTTCTCTTCTATTTTAGTTTGAGAATGTTTTTTGGCCTAAACACTCACCATTAGTGCGTTTGGTAGCGAATTATTAGATCGGCATCTGGGAAAAATTCATATAGATATGTATATAAACTTGTTTTTACATGTATTTGGTGTTAATTTTTACCCGCAAGCATTTTAGAACATTCTCAGAACATGAGGTACATGCTGGGTATATGACTTTTAGTATCTTCTAAGATTGTCCTGTTGTGCTCAGTATATACTTTTTGGAATATACTTTTAAGGCACGTACTCAGTATATACTTTCTAGAATATACTTTCAAAATATATTCTAGGTATGTTCTAAGAATATTCTAAAAGGATATACTAAAAAGAACTTAAATAGAACGTTCTTGGTATATTCATAGAACATTGATGTTATGTGGGTGTGCCTGTAAACTGTATATAAAAGTTCCAGTTTTTATTCAAAAATGATTTCGTAACAGTTCAAAATTATTTTATTTATTTCCAAATACAAACTTTAATGAATATGGTTGATATAGTTACAAAATTCAATTACAAACAATATTTATAGGATTGTCAAATAGACTTAAAGTAAAATATGACGTAACATTTTTGGGACAGTGTAATCCTTCAAAGTTTGGATATGAACAGAGCCGACTAGAGGGGGGAGCCGGGACTAATTCCTGGGGCCCGGACTGAAAGGGGGGCCCGGACTTAAAGGGCCCGGCAACTGTTTTTTGTTTTGTATGAGAAATTCGACAGAAGACAAGAGGGAAAGTTTTTGGTTGGGGAGTTTTTTTAAGTGGAGGAGGAAAAGTTTTACCTTGGGGGTTTTTTTTTTTTTTAGAAAAAGCGATTTAAGTAGAGGAAAGTTTTTGCGTGAGGACTTTTTTTTTTAGAGAAAGCAATTTGTAGGGAGGAAAATTTTTATTTGCTTGGGGAACTTTTTTTATTTAGAAAATTCAATTCAAGTAGAAGAGGAAAAGTTTTTTTGTCACGGGGCCCGATCTAGAGAATTGTCGTGGGGCCCGGCCTGGCTCTCGGCGGCCCTGGATATGAATACCACTTTTACCCCTCTCTCCATTTGTTGGGGATATACCTCAGAGACAACGAGGATATAAATATTCCCACCAGGTGCGGTGTAAGTTCTTCCAGACCTCACTGAAGTAGGGCTGGATAAATACTGTCAGGTACTGGCGATTTAAATGGAGAGAAGCTGGATATTGCCCATCTAATTTTTTCATCGTCTATAATGTGTTTGGCAGTTTGCCAATCATAGACAGATGGGTTGTATTCTTCCTCTGCCCAGTCGACCACATCTCTGATGACTGAGTCGAGGAAGTGTGTTGACAGCAGAAGTTTGATGTTATCTTCGAAGTTGGTAGTTTTCGCGCCATCCTCTTTGATAAGCGCACCAATGTTTCGGTGTGGATCTTTTGAGAGAGCTTTTTGAAGCCTCGCTGCTGCAGGAAATCTTCGATTTTTTGCAGTATGATCTTCATGCACCTCTCTATTTTTGTGTGACGATTTTTTTATATTCTCTGAGGTGAGATTTGTATGTATCCAGTCCTCTTTGAGTTTTGTAGTTCTTGCCTTATTAAAGGATTTCCTAGCCATCTTTCTGAGGTGATCTAACTCGTGGCACCACCATGCGGTAGTCGTCTGATCGTGTTGGACCAGCCTCAGAGGACAGGATTAATCAGGGGTGGTCTGACATCGATATATTATCAGACACTTGCTAGTTTAGAATTGATTTATAGATACCAGTTGTGGATAAAGTAATATCTATTAATTTGATTGCGAGAGATTAAAAATGTTGGTAGTACCTTTATTCAAAATACAAAGGTTTTTGGTAATTATATAATCATAAAGTGACTTACCTCTAGCGTTGTTGTCCTTACTGCTCCAACTGAAGTGATAAGCGTTTGAGTCGCAACCGATTACCAGCTTAAACTTCTGTAGTAGCAGTATTCAATCAGATCCTCCATCTCTTTATTGGGTGGTGGCGTGGTTGCGTCGGAGGGTAGGTATGCAGATGCCAGATTTAACGTTCTATTTTTCCGTTTGATGGCGTATTCCATCCTAATCGCAGTTAAATCGGAGGTGGAATGGTGTGCCATTGAGTGGGTTTATATTTCCTAGGAATGTAAATGACTGTCCTAGGTTGTTGGTTTCTAGAAAAGCTAAAAATTGAACCATTTAGATTTTTAAGACCTAAAATTTTGGTTTTTATTATCCATGGTTCCTGCTATTGTATCTTGCAGCTCATCAAGGCGGCGGCATAATGTTGCCGTAGCCACCCTTTTGTGCTACAAGTTACATTGTATGATCGTTACCCCTTTTATTGCTTCCCGGTCCTTCGTTGAAAATTGGGCAACAAGGTGGTTATTTATTCGACCATACCTTCCTTCGAAAGTGGAGAGGGGGTGATTTTTTGTAACTCGGAGTTTCCTTGCTCGATTGCCATTTTTTCTGGCTCGACGTCCTTCACTGTTGGTTTAAATTGGGGGAAGAGGGTCCTTTACTAAGGAGTCTTCACTGGGCCTCGCTTTAGCCACTTTTTCGATCTTTGGCCTTATAGTCAATGAGGTGAATGCATAGTTCATCCTCATTGATTTGGCCTTTAGGGTTGCCGAAACCAAGATATAGCCATTTTTTGATTTTGGTGGAAAGTATACCATTTCGCCACATGCAAGTTTGGGTTTTGCCCCTCAAGTTACCTGAACACAACCTCTTTTTTGTCAAGGTAAGCTTGCGCTTTCCCTGGGATCCAGAGAGAGGCTTTGGTGAGCTTGCGAAGCTCCATCCTTACAACTGCGAGTGTTTTTAAGGTTGGTACCTTAGTTTTTAGCCATTCCAACGTCAGGTCATCGTCGCCCGTTATCCTGATGATTTCACCAGAGTGTGTCCAGGACCTGAATGTGGGTGGCTTGGTTTTGCTCAGGAGACGGACTAAATTGTTTAATCCTGTGTCTTTTTGATATGGATTTGTCTTTCGGTATTAATCTTATTATAGCTACTTTTAGGTGGCTCGTAGCTGCATCCTTATAGCTTATTCTAAACAGAACTTGGTGGTCCTATCAGGGATTTTCCCCTTCCGGGGCGTAACCTTGGAAGAATTGTGAGATCGCGGCCTTTTCTTATTCCCAGTTGCGTCGTGTTCCTGGCCTCTTGTGGAGGCAGAACTAGTGTCGCTGCCTAATGAGTTGATTAAGCCGCTTTTGTTTATTTTGGAGTGAGGGAGTTTGCTAAGGGTAGCGGTTGGCCATAGCACTGTCTGACTACAGCTTATCCCTCTTCCTCCTCTTTGCTTCAGACCCAGAGATTATCTTCCCTCTCCGGGGCCTGTTAGTTGGAGGTGAAGTACTGTATCGAACTTTGTTGTCCAGGCTCCTTTGCAGGAGGTAAGCGCTGAGGTCCGTCCTCCTTTTTTTGAGGTGATCGTAGCTGTCCAGCCTTCTGCGTCGGAGTTGGACTTTGTCGTCTAGTCTCCTTTGCTGGAGGTGAGCGTTGACGTCCAGCCTTTTTAGGTTATTGTTTTTGGATTTGTGTATCCATGATTCCCACGAGTAGCCAGGGAAGAAAAGGTCGACCGACGCAGAGCCACGCAAGCTAAATAAAAGAGAGATCCGCCAGGTTCCCTCAAGATACCATTTCGGAAGGCGCGACAGAAGACAACAGACGCGACGGCAAAGGAGACAGATGCATTTACGTTACGCTTTACGCATTTGGGAAGCAAGGAGACAGGCGACGCGACAACCGCAGACGACAATTCGAAGTAGATTCACTGTTTTTGTCTCTGTTATCCTGTTTTAGGCATGAAATCTACTGTTTTCGCTAACTTAACAAATTTTGTTCTTAATTTATTAAGTTTGCCTCATTCTTCAGCAAATGGTCAAAGACTATTTTCTCTAGTAAATTTTCTGAAGTAAAAGCAGCGTAATAAGCATGCACTACTTTAGGTTTGCTCCATAAAAAAACCTTTAGACAATCAATGTTTTTATTTAAAATGTAACAAAGGATTAATAGTGCATCATAAAAAGAACATGCATGCCAAACTACAACGTATTTGAATTATTTGATTCAGACTGATCTATTATTTTCCATTGGTTTCTTTTTTTGTTTCCGTACGTTAAGTGTATATTAAAAATTTTATTATTTGTTTTTATTCTTTGTTTGCTTTCTAATGAAAAATGTTGATTTTTCGTTTCTTATATACTTGTTTTTTTTTTATTTGCTACACTGCAAATTATAATTATTTCCCCTTGTATTAAAATCTACTGTTAAGATATACGGTTTTTTTTTTCACCCATACTGTTCCTGCGACAGGTAGCAAACGCTCTACCCCGAGACCGATCTACCTGTCGTCGACTTCTGTCTCTCGGACTGGTCGCGCGTTGCGAAATGTATTTTATATAATTGCATGTGTTCAGACGTGAAGATGTAACAACCAGTTAGCCTAAAGACCAACGCTCGTCACCAAATGTAACAACCAGTTTGCCTAAAGACCATTTGTAACTACTGATAGGTCTTTAGCTACTGTTACTATACTATTAAGGGATAAAGGCAGCGCTTGTCACCAGCCCTAGGGTCCTGGAGTCCTGAAGGAACATCCATTCGCCAGTGGCAAAATAAAATAATAAAAGAAAATAATAAAAATACAAAAAAAAAACCTCCCTTAATAGCATATGTCGAGAGGCTTTGGCAACTGACTTAAGACTCTCAAGTCCTTAAGGGTAGCAACGCCGAGGCTTAACATGCTCGGAATATTTCTTACTGGTTTTTGGAAAGAGGTGAGAATAAAATAGATTAATAAACAATAACACGTATATTTAAATATAAGTAAAAACTGAATAACAAATTTCAATAAATCAAAACAATCTCTATTTTTGAAATAAGACATAGCAAAAATTACTACTCACAATTGTAAATCTTTATTATAATAAACCATGCTAATATAATATAATCTATGATGAAACTTTGATATAATGAAACCTTTTACATCACAAAAACATTTTGATATAAAAAAACTCTTTATATGATAAAACCCTTAAAACTGATAAACATTTAATAAGTAAACTTGGGACGAAAATGAAAGAATTGGCATTTGAAGAAAGACTAATGAACTATTTTAAAATACATAACCCAAACAAGAGATTTAACCATGTTAAAATAAAATAGATATTACCTTTGAAACTAAAACACTACACACACACTTTACTATATATAATAAATACTAATAATTACTAAGTTACATTTTTGGGCCGCCCCTCGAGTCTTTTTTGTGTCAACGATTGACTCTCTATTTATATCAACCTTAACGTGATTATTTTAAAAAGAAACTCTACTTATTTATTTTTAATGATTATTCGCACGATTTGTCCTTTAATTTTCTAGTACAATGAACTATTTCTAATTGTTTGGTTTTAATAAATACGTTGTGTTAATTTAATAGATATTAAAAATATTAGATATTTTTGGGATTTTTGTTAAATTCTTTATATTTTTAAAAATAATAATGCCAATTATTACAAAGAGACCGTTCTTGGTCTCCTTTGCCGTCGCGTCTGTTGTCGTCTGTCGTGCCTTAGATTGGGGGAGTTTATTCGCGTCGGTAGCCTTCGCAAAAGATTTTGAGGGTTTTTAGACTCTCGCACTCTACTTATGTCTACCACTAATCAAGAAGAATCTTGCCGTTCTTCTATCCACCACCCGGAGACGAGCTCAGTTGGTACTCAACCGCTAAGCTATTTACAATATATTGAGATATTAATACTATGATTATACTATAGCTAGAACCAGATACTATATGTTTCTATTGATTTACCTTTTTCACTGATGTCACTGAGTGGCATTCAATATTCCACACGAACCATACGACACCAATAATACAACTTCTTTTATATGTTATTTATTGCCAAATGGAATACATTTTATACTTTGGAAAACGTTTATGTTCAAATTTACCAAAAAAAATATCGATTGCGATATTTTTTTTTCGGACCAGGCTCTTTGGCCTCCCTCCTCACAAAGTAAAAACTTTTTAAAATACGTAATTTTTTCAAAATTTGTTGTTTTGATACATTTTACAAACAATTTCCAAAAATCTTGTAGTACCCTGCATTAATCCCAATCAGGGGTGTATCCACGATTCGATTCCTTATCAATAAAAAATTTAGTATTTTGACGTTATTGGTATCGTTGGAAAATTTAATAAAATTATTCCATATTAGTTTTTCCTTGCTATCAAAAGTTTACATAAGATTTATTGTGTATTTAAATTGTTTTTTTTTCTTTCAGTGCGGCTTCTTCAAAAGAAACAGGCCTTCATCTGGTCCTGAAAGACAGCCATTAAATAGGAATGGATATCATAGTGGAGATGAAGCGTTGTAGTTTTATAAATTCGAAAAAAAAAAACCAGAACACTCGAAAAAACGGTAGCTAATTTACTGCCCGCTAACAAAAGACTCGATTTTTTAATTTATGTTTATTGCGTGTGTGTATGTGTTTAGAAGAATGTATATTTTTTTATAATTTTTAATTTTTTCCTAATAGTCAAACGTTAACTCGAATTCACGCTTAACAAGATTGGTTGAAATGTTTTCTTTAACTTGTGCCATTTATTTTTTTCTTTTATATTATATAAGAGGTGATATTTATTAATTTACAGTTTTACAGCTGTATTTGACCTAATTTTTACCATTGTTATAATAATTACCACGAAGATCACATCGAAATCTATAATGGTTAAATCTGGTCAACCATCTGTAAAAAAATGACATTATTTGTAAAAATTTATTTTTTCAACAAATTGTCATTAACATTATTTAAAAAAAAAAGAGAAAGTTGCTAAGAAGCATAAAGAACATACTATATCATTATTAGGCTAATTGATCAATTTTTGGCTTTTTGATGATCAATTATTAACTAATCTGAAATTTAATTTCTAAATAAAGGTTTGGCAATGTGTGCAATTATTGATTTTCACAAAATACCATTTTTTTTAAATAGAAAAACATACACCCTTAAAAAAATAGTAGTGAGAAGTAGTCGAGAGAACAAATACTCATTATTGCTCATTATGCATTTTCACTTAGATTACTGCTAAAACTTATTTTTAAATTAATCTCCGTTTCGTTACATTTGCTTCCTTTACCAGAAATTTAATAGCAATCGTACCTGAGCCATGCCTGATGTGTTAAAGAGGGCTGGCGATTAGTGAGGAGTAATTTTTTTCTATTTAACATACTGTAGTTCATCAAGGTAGTTTTGTCTGTCCAAAGAATATTATTGTAGACTGGTCTATCACTATTTAGGCGAGTAACAAATAAAAGAGTGATCTAATAATATTTACACAAACAAACAAATTTAAAAAATTGCTCACAATGGCCACCATTATTTTCAGCACAAAGTCGTGTTCTTTTACATTGTAAGGGGTTTTCTCGCCTCTGAGAAAACGGTTCCTTACGAATGGCGCTGGTTACGGGCGGTTCTCGAGCGCCAGATTTTTGGTTATGGTTTACTCCACAAACTCTCAAAACGGCGTCGAAAGTACTCGGGTAGCTACAGATGGAGATGACAAATTCCAGGGGTCAAAGCTCACTTAAACACAGGTAATAGTAGGCCACAAGTAACGGGCTTTAATCGTTGCTTGGGCTGGTATAGAATTTATCACTAGCTGAAATACAAGGGTGAAATAAAGTATGGAATTAGTAACCAGTAATACGGCAAGTTAACATTGACACATGTATTGTTTTAAACTATTTACAACATAAAAAAGAAATAAATTAAGGTATTTCAACGCTCACCCTTACGGTAATATGTACAAACCCTGAACAAAAATAAACAAACAAAACGGCCGGAAAATGATTTCCAAATAGCCTCAATCAGACGTAAAAAAAATGAAATCAATAATTGTAGTGATCACGGTCGCAGCAAAAGTTTATTATTGAACTGTCTATTCGGTTGTTGAGCTAAAAATGTAACTTACTATTTCGTTCAGGAGAAATATTAATTCGGTCGTAGGAAAAATTTACTATCAGACTATTTTTACTGGCGCAGGAAAAATTAACTATTTAATAGTTTAATCGTTAAACAAACTAAAAATGCAATTTATTAATTTTCTACAAAAAAATAATATTTACGGTCGTAGGAAAAATTAACTGTTGAATTGTCTAATCGGTATTTACAATCAAACGTAATTGAATGTTTCGGCAAAGCAAAATTGATTATACGGTTGCAGAGAATGCGAGGAGACAGGTTCGGGACAGGGTTCCAGGGCTGAAATCGGGACTCTAAGAAGTTTACTCAAACTATTGGTTGGAACGTAAAACCAACTAACAACCGGGATAGTACATTATCTCTGAATGAAGTGATCGTAATCACGAGCCGCTTCAGACAGGGGAATGATACTATTTAAGCTCTCTTAAAATAACGGAGACTTACGCAAATGAGTGTTTCAGATGTAAAATAAACTAATAACCGGGATAGCACATTATTTCTGAATGAAGTGATCATAATCACGAGCCGCTTCAGACAGGGGAATGATACTATTTAATAAATTTGCGGTTCGGAGTATAAAATAAAAGAAAATGTCTCGTCGCAATTCTATTAAGGTAACAAATCAAAATATTAGACAATTCCCAAACAGTTCCGACCAATTATTTATTGGTTAAAGCTTTAAATAAACTAAAATGAAATTACGATTTTTTCATGGAAATTTGCGGTAGTAGGAAAAATTAACTCTACGACTATATTTACGATCGAATGAAAAATAAATTATTTAACAGTTAAAGCCTAACAAAAATAAATTAAAGTTTTTCTTAATCAAAACAAATTTCAATTTTTAATTCAACTCTGAATAATATTAATTAAAAATAAATCAAAATAAAACGGTTTCCAATAGCACGGCTTAAAGTCTCGAGCGAAAAAAAATCAATTTATAAAAACAATGACAATTTACCTTTCGTCAAGATCGCGGCTAGAAATTTATATCGGTTTAAAATTGTATCTCTCGCGAGCAATATCGGAATCGTGTATTTCGGTGTCTAAATAATTTTTCTATTTTCGGCTGTTCAATAAATCGGTATATTAGGAACTAAAATTTTTAATTGACTCTCGGAGCTCGTTCAATCGTCGCTTGCCCTTCCACTACCAGAAAATCCCACTATTACAACTCGCCCATGCAGATTATCTGAACGATTTGGTCTGAACAGCGACACGCTGATGATATACAGGGCATATCCACGAAGTTAAAATTAAGTAAAAATCGACATTAATTAGTTTAAAAAAAATATTGACGAAAATTGACTTCATTACAACATATGTTTCGCTGCCCTGGCAGTCATGTGTGGGTTAATTTCGTTAAATGCCTGATTAATTTTTTCTCTTAATTCAATTATAATTCATTATAATACATAGTACACTAAATTTTTTAGGTATCCCCAAACAGAATAATCCATTGGATTTAAGCAAGACAAGCGTGGTGGCCATCTTATAGGGCCTTTTGTTCCAATCCATTTTCTTCCAAATTGCTGATTTAAATAATTTCTTACACTGTTGGCATTATGGGCTCCACAACCATCTTGCATAAACCACATTTTTCTTCGAAGCAGTAATGGAATTATGTCTAATATTTCTTCTAATAAATCGATATAATTTTGAGCAGTTAAATTTCCTTGTATAAACTTGGGTCCAATAGAAACGTCGCCAATTATGCCACACCATAAATTTAATGAATATCGTACCTGAGGCCGTATCTGCTGTGTTAAATGTTACTCAAACATATATCTTCGAGAGAAATTTTTGTTTGTTTACACTGGACTAAACAACTGTCAGACATAAATCTCATTGAATAAATGTCAGATATAAATGTACCTTAACTCTTACGAGATAACAATACAGTTTAATATAAAAAGTAGCCATCCTGTATAATGAAGTGCATTATTCTTTCACTTGCTTTTTTTTAATTAATCAATTAATGCTTTAAGATTAAGTATATCTTTTTGATTTATATTTTAATGGTAAGTTTTTTGAAAAAACGGATCATTATTAGAAAAACCTTTATAGAAAGACATAATTGTAAATAATGAAGTCTGTCTATCCCTTTATTGAGGACACAATAAATATTTTAGGTTCCACTATACCTGACACCTTTAACATATCTAATAAAAAATTTCTTTAAGGAACAACCCTGTCATACCATCAAATATATAATTCAAAACAAAAATTGATCTATTAGCCTAGTAAATAGATTTAATATGCATCTTACGTTTAGCAAAAAAAACTAAATAAATGTAAACTACTAATACAGGGTGAGATAAAATAAAGAGCATTTTTGAAAAATTGTTGAAATGATTACGAAAAAATCCCGCTCGTAAAATTACCGTCTTGGTAAATGCTTCATTGCTACTGAATGCTGTTAATAATAATAATAATACTCTCATTGTAGTTCGAAAACTTACGAGAGATGGATGTTATTATTGCCGTGATGCTTCGGGGCAAAATATAGATTGAGTCACTCCAACCATCACTGAAACGATAACCTGATTTTTAACCTGGATGTTGTATCAAAAGAAATGAAATTACTGGCATATTTCCTATCAAATCCTACAACGAACCATGTAAATTAATTAAAAAAGCACTTGTTTTTCTTTTGAATTCGAAGCAACATGTCGCTTCTCACTGAAGACTAGTAACAAATTATTGTGACGTAGAACATGACTGACAGCATCTCTACCATATCTTAACCTCATTCCAACAATTTTCAAAATCGGTCTCTTTTCTGCCCATTGTATTTGTAAAATAAGGAACATTTAAATATCATAATTGAGGCTAATTATCGCAATTTATTTATATGATAATGGGGCATCGTATATATTTTTAATAAAAAAAAAAATATTTTTATCACCCTGAAAAAAGAAATTAAAGTGATTTATACAGAAACTCGATTTAATGTGGCTTTAACTTAAATTAACTTAATTAACACGAATTTTTGTTGAATGATATCATTTTGTATATTTATTTTTTGATCTACAATTGTTAAGATTTTGTTAATGTTACACAGGCATTTTATTTTGTGCAACAAGAGTGAATATGGACAATCGACTCGAGTTGTACAGTATATTTTTTCTACGACCCATTAACGAAAAACTACAAATTAAAAAATATATTTTAGGTTATTAGGAAAAAATAACTAATCTTAAAATGTGTATGACTTTTACTAGTAAAAAAAAATAATCTAATTAGTCCCCAGCCCAGATTTGAACCCGAGCCTCTCGCGTATGAAATAAGCGTCGTGTCCTCACCTCCATCGCCACACTTATGATTTTAGTTTTAATACTCGTAATTAAATTAGTTTCATATAATTTGAATAAAATTTTAGATATATTTGT